TCTCTGTTTGCCAGCTCCCCCATCCTTCCTCCTGCCTCGCTATTGCCCTCTGGTGGCATCTCCTTGTCACCCTGCACTAAAATGATCACTGTTCTGTGATCTTAGAAGTCAGCGCTAGGGCTGGGGATTTATCTCAATTGGTGGAGTGCTTGCCCTGGATTCAGTCCACAGCACTGCTCAGAGCAAGTGTGGTGGTCCACATTCACACTCCCGGCACTTGAGAGATGGAGGCAAGTGGAACAGAAGCTAACACTCATCCTTGGCTACATAGTGTGTTCAAGGCTGGCCTGGAATACTAAATAATGTATTCATGAATGAAAGAAAGAAAATGAAACAATGCTAGAGGCTTTCCATCTTTCATTCCCAGTTTACCTCTGCTTGGCATCTGGCTCCAATCTCAGAGCAGTTCCAGACCCCATATCCCCCTACCACCCAGACTTGGAGAAGGCAACCAGTCTGCTCTTTACTCTCACCCAAGCCCTTGCCAGAGCAATCCAGTTCCAGAGATCTTTGGGCCAAGAGCGGAGGACCAGCTGCTAATTGGATTAAGTCCTTCTTACCTCTTCCCAACATCTATTCCAGCTCTCTGCAAGATGCCCAGAAAGACATGGCTCCTTCCTCTTGGGGTGGGCGGATATGAAAACAGCAGAGGGCCAGAGTGAGGGCCCCAGGGTGGGGTGGCACCCAGAGGATACCACAGCCACTAGGGAAAATTTACCTCCAAGCCCATTTCCCCTGAGATTCCTACATCCAGACTAGAGCATCAAGGAGCCTGAACTTGGTCAGAAGGGTGTTAGCTCCTTAGACAGGCCGCCGGACTTTTCTTTTCTATCATGGTTCCCTCTTCCTCTATGTTTAGTATAATATGACAAGGTGGGACTAGGTTGTGATCCAGAGAGAAGTGGGAAAATGAGATTTGTGCCTCCCAGAGGTAATTAAAAATGTATTTGTGGGGGGCGGGTAGGTGAATGGTGTGTGTGAACTATGTATGCATGTGTGTCGTGTATGTTAACTGTGAGTGAGGAATGTGTGATGTTTGTGGATGTGGGGTGATAGTGTGTGTACATGTGTGGTGGGTGTATGTGTGTGTGGTGTATGCATGGCGGGTGTGTGGGCTGGATGGTATGTGTATGTGTAGAGGGGTATGTGCAGGGTGTGGGGTTATTATGTAGTGTGTGTATGTGTGTGGTTTATATAGAGATACGGGTGGTGTGTGTGGTGTGTATATGGGGGAAGGGGTGTGTATCTGTGGTTTGTATATAGTTAAGGGTAGTGTGTGGGTCTAGGGTGTAAGTGTGGTGTGTGTATGGAGTGTTGCATGCATGTGTATGTTTGTGTGGGGTGTTTATATATGTGTGTGAGTATGCATATGTGTGGATGGTGTGTGTGGTATGTGGTATGAGGTGTGTGTAGGAGTGTGTGGTATGTATATAGTGTGTGTGTTTGTGGTGTATGTGGTATGTGTATGTGGGGGTGTACGTGTGTGATGTGTGTATGGGCGTGTTGTATGCATGTGTATGTGTGGGGTGTGTATGTGTGTGAGTATGTGTGTATGTGTGAATGGTGTTGTGGTATGTATATGTGTGTGGTATGGGGTGTGTGCATGAGTGTGTGGTGTATATGTAGTGTGTGTGTATGTGTTTGTGGGGTGTGGGGGGAGTGTAGGGGAGTGTTGTGTGCATGTGTATACGTCATATATATGTGGTGTTTATATATGTATGAGTGTGTATATATGTGTGGATGGTGTTGTATGTATATATGTGGTATGGGACGTATGTATGTATTTGTGGTGTATGTGGGGGTTTATATGGGGGGTGTATGTAAATGGGGGGTATAGGTGGGGGGGCACACACACACGTGTGTGTGAGTTAGTTTTAGAGGCAGAGCAAAGCTGCTCCTAGTGCTGCCCCCGTTCTCATCTGCGCTTTCTCACAGTGGTTCAGTGTCTGCTGTCCCCAGTCCCTCTGCTCCCTGCAGCATGTGGTAATCTAGCTAGATTAGCTCCTGTGTGCAGCGGCTCTCCTGCTCTCGCTCTCCTCTGACTCGGCTCTGATGCCTCTGATGAAACCAGACATATAGCATTCTAGAAAAACAAGATATCTGTGTCTCCATTGGCTTGTTGTTTCTGTCTGTCCAATCAGGGCAAGGACTTCTTACCCAGAGGTTGCTTGGCAACCTTGAGAAGCCACAGTAGTAAGGAGATAGGTAGAAAAGGAACTTTCTACCCATGAGTGCTTTGAGAGCATCTGGATGTGGAAAGGACTGGCCCCATCTACCGCGCTCAGGCAGGCCAGAGTGCTTCTATTTTTCCCTTTGCCCTCCTCAGCCTAACCTGCCTCAAAGAGACATGTACAGATCAGAAGTGAGATCTTCTATGTAAGTGTCCTTTAAGATGTCCCCCTGAAGCCCCACTACCTGGAGGCTGCATCACAGTACCTCTTGCTTGCCAACTGGGTAGAAGCCCCAAGAAGAGTTAGTTGGCAACTCCCCAAAGAGCCGGAAGTCATTTCTCCATAAAGGCAGGATAGAAATGTGTCTTGGTGGGACATTTGGGAGGCATTTTGAGGGAACCCAGGGCCTTGTGAGTGCTCAACAACTACTGATAAAACTGAACTACATTCCCGGGCCCATTCAGGCTTACTGTCTTGTTGGGAAAGGAATTGGGCTTCTGAGATGCAGTCAGGCTCAAAGGAAAGCAGCGGATGCAGGAGCACCAACCCTGGTTCATTTCTGGCACGTACCCTTGCTCCTTTGCCTGGGGAGTTGCCACTGGTTCTTTCATGCAAAGAAGTAAGGGACTATCGAAGTTTTTCACATTTGAAAGCATCAAAAGACCCAGGGACCAAGGGCTCAGGCTTCAGTGGTCTGCCTAGAGGCATTAACTGTATCCATGCATTCTGGCTCATGGGGTCATTCCACATCCTACTACAGCTTCAATGCCATGATGAGGTGTCATTCCTGGCATGCAGAAGATTCAGCCTGCCTGGACTGCACTTGGTACAGTTTATGGGAGAGCAGGCTCTTGCTGATGTGGCTAATTTAGTCTAGTCTTTGCCCCCTTCACTTCCCCTTTAAGTGTGCCCCCGACTTCCATGGAAACATGTCCAGGTCCTGCCAGCTGGCACCATTACTGAGCTGGTCAAAGCCTAGCCCTGGAGGGACCCAGAGGGTAGAAGACCCTAGGAAGGAAGGATTTTTCCTTAGCCAGGGCCTTGCTTTCTGTCATGCCCACAGCTCTGAACATCCCAGGCTCTCTTTAGGTTTGCAGGATCAGCTGTGATTATTCAGGGTAGCATCCAAACCTGTCACAGTCTAGGATGTTACCTAGCCCTCAGCTAGTCCTCAGCTTTGGGTCTCTCAGCATGGAGAGCAGATGAATAGCCCTCTTCTGGCCCGCTCTCGGCAAGCCAGGGAGGAGGTGACGGGGGAGAACAAAGAACAAGGAACCTGTTGGCCCTGACCAGATTCTCTTCCTCATCTGAATCTGAGGCCACTCCTTAGCACTGGGTCCGTGAGGAAACAGGATGAGGAGCCAACCCCAAATAGGACTACATCATCTTACAGATAACAAAACCAAGGCAGCCCAGAGCAAATGAACGGATTTGCCCACGATCTGACAGCTACTAAGGTGTAAAATGGTAGTTCAGTCCTAAAGCAGCGGGTTCCCTGGGCCCTTGCCCTACCTCCAAGCCTACCCCCGAGAGGTGTTTCACCTGAGATATGCTTCAATCCTATCCTCTCAATTCTATAGTGCCGGGTCAACTCCGTACTAGTCTCCATGACACTGTTGGCTTCCTCGTTGCCAACTCTCCTCCCTAGTCTCTTTCCCTTAGCACTCCCTTAATAACAGACTAGAACAGACAGCAACAAGTTCCATATTCTCCAGGTGAGCAGCCATGGCTGTACGGGTAGGTGTGGCATTCAGCTGGTTCTCTAGGCTCTCTCTACACTTCAGAACTCTACTGCCTCTGTCCTTCCTGATCCCTGAAGGAAAATCTGCATGATCTTGGTGTGATAGGATCACAAAGGGCCTCTACAAGTTCATTTTCTGTCATGTAGGTGACGTAATAACCAGGCTAGCTTAATATGAAACAGCAAATTTTAATGAAGGGATAGCTTACAACACCAGGGATCCAGCGATGAGCAGGAGATACAAAAAAAGACACCCGCCAGATTTATAAGTAAACATTAGCCCGAGGCGAACACGCCCCTCCAATGGGCTGGGCTATCCCTACACTGTCATAATGTAGTAGCTGGGGCTTGGTGCTTTAGAGAGGACAGATACTCATTTAGTTCTGGAGACTCGAGGCCATGGTCTGAGCGGTCACTCGGGTAAGGAACTCATGGCTGGTGGTGTCACCGTGGCAGGCAGGAGAATGTGCGTGTCAGAAAGACAACTTACATGGTGAACTGGGAAGCCAAGGAGAAAACAGAGCTGGACTAGACTTGCTTTTGGGTGACAAACACCCATGAGAACTAACCAAGTTCTCCCAAGACATTAATTCTATCATACAACAGTCGTCCCCGCGATCTAATTACCTTTCATTGAACCTTACTTTTTGTGGGGGATGGGGATGGGTGTGTGGGTAGAGGGGATGAGTATGGATGGACCTGTGTGTACATGTTCATATGCACATGTGGAAATCAGAGGTCAATAGCAGGGGTCTTTATCACTGTTTGCCTTACTGTATGAAATAGGAACTCTCCGTAAACCTAGAGTTCACCCATTTGGCTAGACTGACTGTCCAGCAAGCCTCAGGGATCCTGCTATCTTTGCCTTCCCACTGATAGCAATAAGGATGTATTATTATGCCTAGCACTGACTGAGCCATTTCCACATCCCCCCAAGCTTCACTTCTCAAAAGTCCCACTACCTCTTTGGGGACCAAGCTTCCAACACAAGAGCCCTTAGGGGACACACCACATTCACACTCTAGAGGTGACCAATAAGCCATTAGAAATTCATGTATTGACAAATCTGTGTTTGTCTTTGATCCCAGGAGCCCACTGAATCCACTAGTAACATTACAACTCTGTTGAAAACGAAACATCATGAGCACTTCAGGAGGTAATGGAAAAGGTGAGCCTGGGCTACATGTCTGCTTGAATTATCACCAGCAAACCCCTAGAGGGACATGAACGTTGCCCAGGCAGCCGATGGATGACTTCATAATGGGAGGGCTGGCAAGGGCCCTGGGACTAGGGGCTGGGGTTCCCTCGTTAAGGCTCTTAGGTTTGCCCCTGCCAGGGAAACCTTTGTCAGCCAGTGAAGAGGAGCGGAAAAATGTCCTGAAGCAAATGAAAGTGCGAACTACACTGAAGGGCGACAAGAGCTGGATAACTAAGCACGAAGACTCAGACGACCATGCTGTGTAAGTCCAGGAGGCAAGGCCAGAAGGGAAGGCAGCAATCAACACTGAGGGTGGGGGCATGGCACCCAACCCTAGCTAGGGATGCTGAGGACATTCCACCATTTAGAGCTAGGTCAGGCTGTGGGTCACCAACCAGGTGAGGGTAAAGCCTGAACACAGCCACAGATGGGATGCTGAGGCATGTGTGGTCACACACCTGTAAGGTAGGTCGGGAGAGGAAAAGGTAAGATGCGGTGATGGTGCATAGTAGGCCGGTTTGGGGATGGAGCCACAGGTTAACAGGTGGCAGGGAGCATGGGAGCCACTATATTCAAGTCCTGTCTTTCCACAGAGCGCTTCCCTCAGGACAAAACTACGCTACACCCTCATCAGTTGGAGAGGGATCAAATGCCAGGTAAGAGGTGGTACCTAACTGAGTCTTAAATGGACCCCAGAGGCTCTTCTGCTGCCAGGAGGGGTGGACATCACATAGGGAGCACATAGGGAGGCTGAATTGAGTCATTTGAAATACATGGATAAGACAGGCTCTTTGGGCTTCCCTTTGAATGTTTTTTTTTAAAGATTTATTTATTTATTATATATACAGTATTCTGTCTGTCTGCTTGCTGGCCAGAAGAGGGCACCAGATCTCATTACAAATGGCTGTGAGCCACAATGTGGTTGCTGGAAATTGAACTCAGGACCTCTGAAAGAGCAGTCAGTGCTCTTAACCTCTGAGCCATCTATCCAGCCCCAATTATTTTTTAAGATTTATTTATTTAAGATTTATTTATTTATTGTGTAGGCCAGAAGAAGGCACCAGATCTCATTACAGATGGTTGTAAGCCACCATGTGGTTGCTGGGAATTGAACTCAGGACCTTTAGATGAGCAGGCGGTGCTCTTAACTAGCTTCCCTTTGAATGTTTCTGCAACTTGGCTATCTCCAAGAAGCTGCTCCCTGATAAAATCACAGTCTATAGGAATAAATGCTAGCTTTGTGGTACCCTTAGACCTACCTAGCTGCACAATTCCAGCCCAGAACTCTAATATTTCTGGATAGGACGATCTGCTGAGACCTGTCCTCTCGCCAACTCCTTGAAGGGGCCCTCATTGCCTTGCCTGAGCCCAAGATTACCCCCTCACTACTTCTAGCATGCTCTCCCTAGTGCCCCCCAAGTCTTCTGAACACCATCTTTTGTTGACACATAGCAAGCCCCAGTGCCCAGAAACTAACATTTTCCACTTTCAGCCCCACTAGGGGCCAGAGGAGTGGTAAGGGAAGGCCAAAGAGCATTACCTTCTGTTCGCTTCAGCCCCAGACTGAGGCAGCCTGGGCTCTGACCAAGGGACTTTCAGTCTGATCCAGGAGGCCCTGGTGCCTGGAAAAGCAGAAACTTCTGGAACTCTGCAGTAAATGTTAAACCATAGAGCAAGCCTGCCTGGCACCCTGTTGTAAGCCAGGACTATGCTGGGCATGGCTGGGGTGGAGTCAGCCATGGCAAGGTTCCTGGGAGAGACTGAAGGAAAGCTAGGTGGAGCAAAGTGGGCACCTGGCCACTATATTGGGATACACCTGACCACTATACTGGGATAGCCATCTGCTGTAGTTGAGAACCAGTAAAAATCGGTGGCCTGAGCTCTGTAGTGAAGCTGCCATTCCCTTCATGTTTCCTTTTCTCTTGGCAGTTCTCCGAACACAAAGGCTCCTGCTGGTTACATCATACGGTAAGTGAACTCAAGACTCTACCTGCATCCTCATACCACTAGGGCCACACCCAGACTTCTCAATACCTTTCGGTGTCTCTTGTAGGGGAGTGTTCACCCGAACAATAGACAGCTCATCTAACTCCCAACAGCACCACTCTAAGACCAATGGAGCTCCAAGAAGGTACATCCTTTGTATGCTGGCCAGATGCTCAATAGGAAGGTGGGGGAGTCTTGTCCCGAGCCAAGACCAAGGAAGGGCTAGCAGAGGAGTAAGAGAATGTCCTGCCTGGCTCTGGCCACTGGCCAAGGGCAGTGGCTGGGAGGGGAGCTCTGCATAGAGATGTGGATTATGCCTCCACTTCCTAGTGCCCACAGGCCTTTTTTTTTACTTACCCCATGTCCCATTGGCCTCACAGCTGGCACCTTGCTGAGAATATTGAAGTCATGTGCTTAGTTCACCTTCCTACTATGCCAAGGAGGCATGTTATGTAAACACCTTGCAATTAGTCATTATGCAAATGAGAGCCTGGCGGGCTGTTTCCTTGTGATGGAGCTGGGTCTGTCATGCTCAAAGTGCCTGGCAGGGCTGACGACAAGGAAGAACATCTCCTAGTGGCCCGCATCTCTACGGGGCTGTGTGGGTAAAGGTAGAGGCAAGAGCTGACCTGTGGTTGGGCAGATGGAAATGTCTTGCTCTTCTAGTGCTTCTGGACTGCCAGGAGCAGCTAATTCTGCTTCTGCTCCGCACTCCTCTGCTTATAAGATGACTACGGAAGATTATAAGAAACTGTAAGTATATAATGATCCCAGACACTGAACCCATCGAGGGGAGATGGACACTTACTTCTAAACTAGTCACTTATCTGGGGAGATCTAGTCTTATTGGCTTGACAGCCTTGCCACTTATAACTGTGGCCTGGAGCAGAGGGTGACACAGCTCTAGAAAATTGAATGGCTATTTCTAATACAATTATATGAGGCAAAGCAAAAGTTGTAAGAAACTTCTGGAAGGAGCACATTCTAGAAAATGGACAATGAGCCATGGCTATGAGGCCTGCTGCTCACTGTCTGTGTTTTCTGGATATATCCCTGTGCCCCTTCTTAGGTCTCAAGTTCTCAGGCAGGACTGGCTTCAGCTAAGCTATGCTCGGAGGCATGATGTTTCTTACATTGTCACTGTCCCCATAGACTATTGCTGTGGGCATTTTGTGTCTAAAGCTTCGCTTCACTTGAGGTTCCTTCCAAGGGCCCCAGGCCCAGGAGGAGAGCTCTGGACAAATGTCTGGATTGTGCCAGCACTTCCCAGGACTCCACATCCTTGTACAGCTTATTCCTTGCCCCATCGTCCTGTTAGTGGCATTGGCAGTCATGAAGCCAAGGTGCTAAGGGGAGTAACTTGCAACAGGGAACAGGAAGGACATGGAGGAAGAAGATTCATAACTGTTTCTCTCCCCCACAGGGCACCGTACAACATCAGGCGCAGCTCCACATCAGAGACCGAGGAAGTGGAGGTGCCCTTCACCTCAGATGAACAGAGACGGAGGTAATGTTAGCCTTTATAAGCATAGCCATGAGTACGGCCAGGGCCAGAGCCTGTGCTGGAAAGGATTCTACCAGTCAGAGCACAAAGTGCATAGCACATAATCCGTGAGGACACTCATGGTGTGTAGGTCCAGTTGGCATTCCACAAGTTCGTGAACATCTCAGTGCTGGGCCAGCTCAGGAGACGCTCCTGAGAACCTTGCATGGGTAGAATCTAGGAAACACAGGACTATGGATAAGGCTCACGTGTAGATTCAAACTGTCTCAAGAAACTTGAATAATATTCAGGGTAAAGTGCCCCGGGAAAGGCTGTCTGCACCCGCCATCTCTGGGTTTATTGTGTTTGCAGTGTTGTTTGGTTGCAGGAATGGTCTCCAGAGTTTCAAGTGCCCCTTGCTTACAACGGAGGAGCCCAACTAAAGGCCAGCATCAGCCAGCTCATATGTGCTTTAGGAAGCATAGTGACAGTCCCTTTTGAAGGCCTGGAAGGATGGCACTTCTGTGCAAAAAGAGCACACAGTTGCATGAGCTTTGAAATCTGGATAGTGCAGGGCCATGGGGAATGAATAAGAAACTCTGGAGGTGCCTCACATTGAATGCCATTCTGACACTTGCTTAGGTGTGTGCACTTAGGCAAACAACCAGAGCAGTGGCCAGGCTCCATCAGTTATGGAGTATATCAGCACCTACTTGCCTGGTTGTGAGGATCGATGAACCAGTGTGAGAATGTCAGCATCCAGGGCTGAGCTTGACATGTGCTACATGCTCCCTAAGAAAAGGTCCTTCCCTCGGTGTCCATGGTTCCTCTGAATAGTTCTTAGAGCAGTGCTATCCTAGCTTACCCTCCTCAACTCCCTGAGGGTATTCCTGGGCCAGTCCATGAATCTCCAAGGCTAGGCTGGCAGAGTGGCTAGTTTGACACACGTCAGATGCCCTCACCTCATACCACCCCAGGTCACAAGCTGCAAGTGGTGTTTTGAGGAAGACGGCCCCACGGGAACACTCTTATGTCCTCTCAGCGGCTAAGAAGTCCACTAGGTAAGTTGTCCAGGAATGAGGCCCCGTGGGCTTGAGCCTGCCTTGGCCATTACTGACTCCATGACCTGAGGTCCTTCTCTACTGGGGTTTCGGCTTTCCTCTGACTGGTGAAAGAATAAGGGTATTCCAGCTTTGACCTTCTGGCGAGTCTCAGATGTACTTCTTAGAATAAAATCAGGAGGTACTGGGAACAGGAGAGGCTGTAAGATGGCACCTGCCCTTCAGCTTTTTCCAACATGTTACCACTCTGCTTCCTTTCTAGCAGTCCTACCCAGGAGCTGCAGGCCCCATTTATTGCAAAGAGGTGAGTATCACCAAGGGAAGGAAGCCTCAGGAGCCAAATGCTAGCCAGGCAGCGAGCCTCCTGTCAGGGAGCAAAGAGAGTTGTCCTCCCCAGTCATAGCAAGAGTCCATTTGCTCTGGCCCTGCCCTGTACTCTCCTGTTGCCCAGAACCCCGAGAGATACTCCCTAGGAGTTGATGAGGATGTTATGGATTGGTCCTCTAGGGCAAACGGGGAAAAGGGGAATGGTTGCTTTGTCAGGAGACTACTAGCTGAGTGAGGCAAGGATCAATTTCTGTCGGAGGAAAATGATGGATAGAAGATAGAGAAGAAACTTATATGAAGGTGAATCTGAGGGACTGGGACCTTTAGTTGAGTGGACATCAAAGGCCTTCCAGATAAGGTGGCATCCATAATAAGCTGTAGGTGGAAAGTCAGTGAGGAACCAGTGTTCAGGCCAATACCTAGGCAGAGCAAAGAGCAGAGTGGAAATAGGGTGCTGTTGAGTGACAGTCGCTGACAAGAAAGCAGGGAGCGGCAGCACAAAGTACTGGAGAATAGTGGGTGCTTCTTAGCTCTCAATAATGGGGTAGAATGCTTTAAAACCCCAGAAGTGGAGGTCAGAACTCTGAAATTGGGGTGTTGGAAGGATTGGGACAAATCGTATTTGCCTCACCAAGCTAATGTCTTCTTCATTCACATCGATTGTATCTGTGTCCAGATTTCCTTAGTCTCAGAAGGACATTGCCATTGGATTCAGGGCCTCTCCTAATTTAGCAGGACCTCGTCTTAACCTTTTTATATCTCCTAAGAACCTATTTCCAAATGAAGTTCCCTGGGATCCAGGAACTAGCCCAATGATAATGTCCTACCCACTCCCCCTGAGCTGGAGTGGCCAAGACACCGGTAAAAGCACCAAGATAGCTGAGAAAACCACAGGGACCTCTTTTCTTGCCCACAGGGTTGATGTGGATGAGGATGTGCCTCCCGAGAAAAAACAGGAGCCCGCTGCTCTAGCACGATCTGTTTCTGGCAGGTAACAGTCACTCCTTAGCTGTGAGAGACGGGCCACTGCAGTGGCGTCCTGTTCTTACACTTGCTCCTGGTACTTCTCTAACTTGGCCAAGTTTACCCCACCTAGGGGGCAGGCCTGTTGTCTCCAGCACTTCTCACATCTGCCTTCTTTGCCAGTGTAAATGGAGGAAGAGCCCACGTGTCTCAAGCAATTCTACTTGGGTGTATACCAAGTATTCCCAGCCCCTCTGGAAGCCAGGAACCCAGGTGGGTTTCAAGAACCATCTCTGGACTATGAGCTGGTAACATGGTTTCCCGCTGGTCTGACTGGCTGTGTTTGGCAACCTAGGAAGGTCTAGCGGTGCGGTGACAGTGCCAGGTCATCTAAGTTCTACCTGTCTCACTTTCAGGTTGCTGCCTCCCATACCCTGGTGGCCTTTCTAAAATGTCAACCTAGCCATGTCAAACCCTCGTCTCTACTTCAAGCCCATTTCACAGCTTCCTCTTAGCAGACACATCTGTTCAAATGTCCATCTAGAAGACCCTGTACTTTCTAAGATTGGCCTAGAGTCAGCTCCAAGTAGGAGACTGGCAATACCCTTTCACCCGCCTACAATCAGTGACTTGAAATTAGTTACAGTGCCAAGAAGACTCAAACAAAGAACAGATGAGGGCAAAGAGGTGGGGAAGATGGGTCTGGGTATCACACTGCAGCTAAGCACCAGACAGAGAATGCTCTTGGGTGCTGACACAGAGGGAAAGAGGAAGCTTCTCTCCCAGAAATTCTCCAGTCTCTCCTTTGGCCCGCAGTTTGAAAACTGAGGAGATCGTCCGTTTGCAGATCACAACCCCCAGAGCAGGACTCCGCCTGGTGGCCCCGGACTTGGAAGCCCTGAGGTACTGAGGCCCCATTGCTGTCCTGCCTCCCTTTGCACCTTTCTCAAGATGAGTAGGAGGCAGGAGGCTCAGTCTAGCACTGTGGGGATAACTAGTTGGTAAAAGGTGTGGCCAATCTGCATTCTCTACCAGTCTCTCCATATTTTATTCAACAATAATTATGTAATGAGTATTTGGTTTTTGTGAGGCCAAAAGCCTGGCCCTGAGACCCAGTGGTAACTGGAACTCCCTGGGACAGAACTACTGATTCTGACAAGATCAACCATAGCATGTCCTCAGAAAGTGACAGGACTAACCAGCCAAACTGGGTGGGGACACTGGGTCTGTGTATTTTAGAACCAAGGTTTTAATTGTCTTGTTTATAAGAGAAGGCATTGGGGTGGGGTTCTTGGGTCTGCTTCCATGGTTTATAATGCCACAGTGCCCTGTGCTTAAGATGAGGAGCACAAAGGTCCAAGCTCTTTTCCTGGGAGAAGCAGCACGATCCCAGACGAAGGAGCACAGCTCTCTGGTCTCCTGAGCATCAGGTGGGACACCTGGAAACCAGGCATGGATGACAATATTACCCAGCACTCCATCATCAATCACCTAACACTCTGCCACCTTTCTTTCTGTCTGACTTCCACGTTCCTGCCTGGGGACATTTGGAGGTCATTAGATGATGGCAGGAAAGGAGTGTGAGTAGCAGTTGGTGGAGTATGTGGACAGGGAAGAACACTGGAACATGAATTGGTAAAGAACAGATAAGGTGGAGAAGATAAAAGGATACCAGAAATACGGAACCAGGGAAACAGAGGGTATCACAGGGCTGAGGGAAGAGAGATTGGAAGTCTGAGGGAGAGACCCACTGGTGGGTGACCCAGAGTAATGCCAAGACTGACTCCTGGACTTGATAACACGGCTCCCTGATGAGGAATTAGGATTAGAAAGTTGAGGGCAGATGCCTGGGCTCCAGCTCTTCTTGTTACTTGTGGAACTTGGAGCACACCGGCTCAGGCCTTCTGAGCATCAAGCGGCTCATCTGGAAAACGCGCATGGATGGCAATAGTACCCATGTCTTGAAACTGATGTGGAGAATTAACCTGTGGAAAGTTGGAAGAATAGAGTCTGGCCCCTAGTCGATACCAGTGAGGAGTAGTGAGGATTTGTGAGTTGGCCAGCCCATCATTAGCAAATTTTCAGCACCTAAGAGACAAGCAACATCTAAGGATGAGGTGAGCATCAGAGTGTGGGTGGCTGAGGAGTAGTTAAGTCATTTCTTTCCTCTGCAGGCCTTCCCATAAAACCAATGAAGCATCATGCTCTGAAGACTTCAACAGAGATTCAGCTTGGGAGGCTAAGTTTAAGAATTGCAACACAGATTTGGAAAGGTAACTCACTGCGGTGAATAGACCTTCCCCAGAATATAAAGCCCATGTGCACTCAACCAAAGGACTTCCATGGGCCTGGATCCAAAGTCAGCAGCTGAACTAAAGATCAGCACTATACTATTGCTACCTGTCTGCAGAGGGGAAAGTGGAGGGGGAGAGAGGGGGGGCCTAGAGAGAGCAAAACTGTAGTATTTCCCCAAATATCAAATTGCAGAGGGGCACCAACTCCAGACCAGGCTCTCCCTCTCAAAATTCTCCCCCTCCCCCGCTTTTCATTTGGGAGCTCTAGACCCCTAGTGTGGACTGAACCCTGAGAATGAGGGAAGGGGGCCTTAGATGGATGAGGAAGGGAAGTTTTTCTGTCTGCCCTCTCTGACTTGCTAGCAACCCCAATTCCCTGTCTCTTGCTCTGGTGAGCATTGGCCACTAATGTGGCTACCTCCCCCTGAGTTTCTAGCTCATTTGGTTTCTGTTCATGTTCCTTGCCCATTAAATTTGAGTGAAACAGAAATACTTGCTGAAAGAGTCCACTTAGGCTTGGATTGACTCTGATCAGAGCAGTTTAGGGAGCTAAGCAAGGACTTCTGCTCCCAAGTCATCAGACATACACTCAAGACATCAAAATTACACAAGGTTGCGCCTGATCAAAGTCAACAAATGCTTCTCTTCCAATATCAGATCAGCTGCACAGTTGGGTGGTGGCAGCGAGGAACCAGAAGCCCCAGAATCCCCACCAGAAGGTTTGGCTGGAGCAGGTGCGGGTGCAGAGCAAAAAGGGTAAGATTCTAGTGGGAGACAGTTCTCACAGATCCCTGTGACAGACCAGGTTCAAGCAGCCAAACTGCTTGCACTGCTGGGATCGGGACTCCTCTCTCCGGTACTCCCCCATCCTTTGCTCTTGGATTTTCTGCTCTTGGATTTACTTCCATTTCGGTCTAGCCACTGCCACACCTCTATCACTGACTCTCGGATTCCTCCAGAGCAAATGCAAGGCACTAACTCCCAGCTAAAGGCCTAGCCCTCAGCAAGGACCGGTCCTGGGTGGAATAAACTAAAAGAAACAAACTAACAAATGACATAAAAATGGAAGAATCAGTGCCTTCTTCCTTCATGGCTGAGCTCTGAAGACAAATCTAGGGTCCCTTTGTCTCTTTCTCCCTTTCCAGAAGAGGAAGAAGCCCCTCCATCTCTTGCTTGCCTCGCACTCTTCCCTGATCAAATGTTCTGAGAGTCATTGAAAGAAGCCCTGGCTGAGTCAGGAGCCACTCTTAGCGGGTGATTTGAGGAATCATCCCCGGAGACAAAGGCTAGTTATACAGATGTTGGCAAAATAATAGTACAGTTTCAAACTGTGCTAACAACATTATGGTTGGTCTGTAGAGAGCTGAAACTGCTAGAGGGCCAGCCCAACCCCATGACCTCCTGAAGTCTACCCAGAAGGATCCTGGGAGGATGCTCTTCTGGCTGCTTCCCCAACTGGATTTCTCACTAACTTAACTAGTTGCAGTGGGTGCCTGGAACCAGACATAGTAGGCACCACCTCTAAAATCTGCTTTTGAGCAGGTCTAGGAAAGGCCATTGGGTCATGGACTTGGTTCATTCTGCTGTCTGTGCAGACGTCAGAAAATCTTCCCAAAATGAACCAGGATACATTTATCCCCACTTTCAAGTTCCCGGTGGCCCCCCTCTTACTTGAAATTAAGTCCAAACTCCTCATAAAACAAATCCATTTCCTTAGAGTAAGACGAAACCTCAAAGTCATTTGCAAACTAGTATGAAGAATCTTCTAGATTTGTAGGATGCTTATTATAGTCCGTCACAGTCGTCTTATACTAGTTTTGACTTTGTGTGTACAAGTGTATGTGTGTTCATGTGGATGCTTATGTGTGTGCATGTGTGTTCAGGCCAGAGATCAACCTCTGGCGTTGTTTCTTAGGCACCATACACCTTGTGATTTGAGATAGGGTCTCATACCAGGACCTGGGCCTTACCAATTAGCAATCCCCAGGGGTCTGACTGTTTCTTCCTCCACTGTGCTGGGCTCACAAATGCACACCTCCACATCTGGCTTTTTGTTTTGCATATGAGTCCTGGGCATTGAATTGAAGCCAGGTCTTGGGCTTATAAGACAAACTCTTCATCATCATCTAAGCCATCCCTCCCACCCAATTGCTTTTTGTTTGCTTGTTTTTAAGAAAATGGTTTACAATCTTTCCAGACTGTAAGTTGCCCTCCTGGAAAGCACTACCCTCCTTTCCCAGTCATTTGTATGAGATTACTCATTAGTTGAATTTGGTTCTTATAATTGCGCAACTAACATAAGCAGGCTTAGGAGCCAACATAAAGGGCTCTGTTCATACGGAAGGCAGGGGCTTATGTAAGTGATGGGTGCACTGTGAGCATCAGTCTGCCAGGAAAGAAGATGGGGCCTAGGTCCGGGAAGCCTAGGTAAGAGAGTGCTATACCAGATCCACTGGGCAGATACAGATGGATTGTAAAGGAGCTATGCTTTTAACGGTGACCATAGATAGAGCTCAACAGGAGTGGAGAACATGTTCGCAGACGCAATGACCCAAATGTTATTTAAAGTAGCTGGCTATGAACTGAGAATGCTCATGAGACAGATATGATTATCATTCATAATTTATTAACTGATAAAACTGATGACCAAACAAGATCCCAGAGCTTAGAGGCATCAAAACTGTGGTTTGAGTCCACACTATGCTACCCCAGATAACGGGCTGTTTGGGGATGAAAGTGAGTCTTACTCCCCCAAGCATCTACGTGAGCAGCTCTTTCTTCATTGCCCAGCGTCTGCTAGGGCCATAGAGTTGTGACCTCAGATTAGCTTTGCTCCCCTTCCACGGGCTGAACTCAGCTGCTGGCTTCACTCCTTTTCTAGGTCCGAGTGACTGTGCAGCCAGCACCTCAGGAACTGACCCTGCTGTCACACAGAGCCCTCCCAGCTTTCTCAGTTCCAGTGGCCAAGGATCCCCTTATCTTCAGACCTTTGCCCCATCAAATAGTCATGGCTGGACCAAAAGCCTGCTAGGGGGCTGACCCAGAACTGTGTCCCTGCCATTGAAAGTACTACAAGAGGGACATGTGATGAGTTTGTTGGCCCAGAAATATCAGCACCAACCTACATGCACCCACTTGGGGTAGTGGTGGAGATTTGTGGAAAAGGGGGCTGAGCAGCCACTCTCGGTGAACCCCTCCTGTATAGACTGTAGTCTGCCCCAACCAGCTGGATTGTGGGAAAGAAATCTCAGGGAGAGACAGACAGGCAGCACTAGGAATGGCAGTGACTGGCGGAATCAAAGACAGGACAGTCTTTACTGACAAACTCAGTCCTTCCCTTTCCCCTGAGAAGGCACCTGGGCCCAGTCTCCTCATTCTGAGCCTTAGCAGACTTTTGTGCTTTCTTCCCTCAGGTCTGGCGCCATGATAATTTCTTTTCTGACTGACAAGAAGAGCAACAGTGCAACAGACTCCAAGGGGTAAGGCATTAGCAGACAGTGCTAGAAACCCAGCGGCTTGGGTAGCTATCAGGCTTTGGCTAGGAAGATGAAGCCAGCTATGTCTGTGAGCTGGCCTGAAATATATGAAGAGACAAAAGATCCAGCTGGAACTTTTTGGCCTGTCTGTGCCAGGAAGCCTTCCGTTACATACCATTGCTTGCAATGAAGCACTCTCTAGTCCAGCGAGGTCACTTTCCTTCCGTTGTTGGTGTGGCACTTGGGCCACAGACAACGAAGATGTGCTCCTGCTTTCAATGAGCCCTTATTGACTAACAAATCAGTGCGACAGAGGAGGGGTCTTTGGGATAGCTTAGTGGAGAGTGGAAACCGACAGCCTCTCGAGCAATGAGAATAGAAACAGGGAGATAGAAGTAGAAGTAGATACAGTTTATTAAGAAAGAGAAGATCATTCCTGAGAAGAGAAGTAGGGAGCTGAGGGGATTGCTCAGCTAGCAAGGTGCTTATAGTGTAAGCACTAAGACCTGTATTCCACCTCCAGAACTCACACAAAACGCTTGGCATCCCAGCATCGGGGAAATGCAGACAGGAGACTCTCTGGGTCTTGCTGGTCTTGCCTAATTGGTGGGCTCCAGGCCAGTGAGAGACCCTGTCTCAAAGGAGTTGATGCTGTAACTAAGGAGTAACACCTGGGGTGGTCCTCTAGCCTCCAGATGTGCAGGTACACATGCAAACACACACACACACACACACACACACACACACGTTTGTGTATATATGTCTGTGTGTGCACATATAGAGAAAAGAGAATGGAAGTGGATCAGATCTAGAAATGTTCTGAAGCCCAAAAGCCTTGGACAAGGAGAATCTTGATCCTTTATGGGTCATTTACATAGGCCCACACACTCACACATTTGAATCATGAAATTTTTCTCACTCATCCTATTACATGCAGCCTGCGATGTATGTATGGAGAGGTCCCGTCTTCTCACAGTGGTTTCTTTGCTATGCTAATCTCGATGCCTCTTTCTGCATGATCCATTCTCCTGCCACAGCCTTTTATTCTGTTTCCATGGAACCTTTCAGATTTATGCCTAGTTTGAAGAGCAAAGGCTTGAAACCCAGGTCCCTCCCCATGTCTTCTGGAAGAACAGTGTCTGAAGATAACAGCCATGGCTCTAAACTACAGATACTTGTTAAAGGGATTGTGAGGGCGGTGGCAGTAGCTCCAAAGCACAAAGAGAATCAAGCCTAGAAAGAAGGGGACAGCTAAAGCTACAGAACTGTGGCGGAAATGTGCCTAGCATGTTCCAAAGCATAGAGTAGCTGGTGACTAATGAGAACAGGGCCTTGTTTCGTTTAATAACAAGACTTTACCAATCAGGTTTTAATCCAAAGAGACTACTGTGCGTATGGACTTAAAGGTGAATGGGTGTTTAGATTTTCACAGTATACTACAGTTGTCTTTTTACTCTAAAGTGGTGTGAACAATGTCCCTTGAAGTCACAAGCCTTGTTATACAATGTTGCTTCTCTTAGATTGCACTGACAATTAGCACTCACTGAAAATATTAGCTGATGATAGTCACGGTATGTTGCCTTTATGTGCTGTAAGTTGTTCTGATAACTGTGAGATGGGGAAATGGGGAAACAAACAGAAAGGCTGTGACTTATCTAAAACCAATTGTAGAGTTTGGTTCCAAGTGGTACATTCCAATGCAAAAGCTCCTGATGGTGGGGTTTCCTAACTCTGGCTGTGCTTAAGAATCTCTTAGGGTTTTTCCATTTAAAAATTTAAAAATTTTTTGTGTATGGGTGTTTTGCCTGCATGCATGTTTGCACACCACCTGCATGCAGTATCAGTGGACATTAGAAGAAGGCAGTGGGTCCCCAGAGACAGATGATTGGAGCTGCATGTGGGTGCTAGCAATTGAAGAAGAGCAGACAGTGCTCTTACCTGCTCTTCCAGCCCCTCGCCTGGAAAAGTGTTAATAACACTCTCTGAGATTTTTGTTTAATTTTCTGAGTGTATGTCTCCAGTATTTTTCTTAAGCTCACCAGTTTCCTCTCTTCTCCAGTATACATTGAGAACCAATCTAAGTGTAACAGTTCTTTTGTTTTGTTTTGGGTTTTGGTTTTTTTGAGATAGGGTTTTTCTGTACCTATGGAGCCTGTCCTAGAACTTGCGCTGTAGACCAGGCTGGCCTCGAACTCACAAAGATCCGCCTGCCTCTGCCTCCCAAGTGCTGGGATTAAAGGTGTGTGCCACCATGCCTTTAATTACTAGGAGAGCAATTCTTAATCAGAGGTTTGTTCTGCCTACCCCCTACCTTCCTGTGTGGTCTCATAATAAGCCGAGTTATTTTTGGATGTCACAGCCAAGAGTGGGTTCTAAAGGATAGGAATCTGGGCGCTGCTAAACAAGTGAAAATGTTGCCTGATTCTTTTCAAAGCACACACTAGCTTTATCCAGTCTACAATGTTCATTGTATTAAGGATGACAAGCCTTCTTCTATTACCATCTCTTCGGGGACACACACTGAAAATGTCAAAGTGAACCACGGGTACAATCAGACTGCCTCGAACACGCACCGCGGGTACAGAACGCGTGCGCCTGTACCTATTCTAATTAGACTGCCGCATACTTCAACTGCGCAGGTCTACAATTTGGTGCTATGCCTGCGGCTATGCGCATGCGCATGATGCGCTGCGCATGGGTGTCTAGGCCAGAGCTTGGGTGTGAATTCGCCTACTCGCGCAGCCATTTCCTGCAGCCACTAGCTAGCTGGGGTATGAGACAGCAGGAAAGGCGAAATGGCTGCTCCGGAGACTAGCGTCAAGATTTCTCCTGCTGCAGTTCCTGTGCCAGCCACAAGATAGCGCTGGAGGATCACAAATGATCCTGGTTGCCCATTGCCCTGCCCATCCCCCCCCCCACCATCTCTGCGTGGGGGGTGGGTGGGGAGGGTGTGGTTGGCTACAGTGGCCAATTTGTGGCTGGCCTCACCTGGGCTGTTTGCAGGGGTTACTACAGTACTGGCTGGACCTCAAGGTCATTCATGACTGACCTCTCTCTCCTGGACAGGGACTCTACTGTGTAATTTCACAGTTCCCTATACATTTGATAAACAAACTAATTGAGGAGCATGAGGTCAGGACCAGCCACGGGGCAAAACTTTGCCAAGGTCATAGAGTTAATTTAACTGTCAGAAGCTAGAGGGATTTTGCCCAGTATTCATTTGATTGTGCATAGAGGGCTGAGAGCTTGGATTCTGAAGCTTTGATTTAACTCTCTGGGACCTTTGGCGTGCTGCTCAGCTTGTACAGGAACAATAACAGAAATAGCTCCTACTATATAGACTTTAAAGAGAATAAATGGGTTTACATATGTAAAGCACACAGGACATTTGGGGAGTCACAAAATACTATCAAATACTCATTTTATAAAACCATCAAGCTAAAGGAAGTAGTTGTAGAGAAACTATCCGACGAGACTCCAGAGAGCTCGCCTCGCTTTCCCACTGCCGGTTTATTTTATCCATTTATTCAGTCATTTAATAACACACTGTTTGCCTTTTTCCTTCTAGCCCGAGTTGTTTATAGTTTGCATCCTACATGAGAGGGTCTCACTGCTAGCAAGTGTTGCCAGGCAGTGAGTTACACTGTGGAAGGAGGCATATGTAGAGAGTGACGTTGTCTTCCAGGCAGAGTGTAGCTAGGTCAAGAGTTGGCAGTGGCTGTCTTGAACCACCAGATTCTGTGCAGGCTTCAGAGGCCTTCAAAGGCCTCCTTTGCTGCTATTTTCTCTTGGCCCACCGGACTTGCAAGCAGCTCAGCAGGAAACTAAGACACCTCCTCCCGGATGCTACTTTGCACAGAAGGGCCTCCTGGGCGTGTCTGGCTGCTCGCTCTTTTTCATGACCTATAAAGTTTACAGCTCCTGAAGTTGCAGTGGCTTAGTGTTGGAGAGTCTTTGTTCTGTTGGCTCATTTGACCAGGACAACCTCTGTTTCTACTACTGCTTCTTCCCGATAGAGCTGGATGTGACAGTTGCTTTCTTTTCGCTGCAGAGGGGTTTTAGCTTCTCACCTGAGGCTGAAAATCATGGCTACCACTCATTCTTTTTGATACAGCGGCTTAGAGCCCTGCCTGCTATGGGCTTGATGTGCACAGATGCGTTCCAGGGATAGTGGTCATGTTCTTCTCTTGTGGGAGGGTGGAATTAGGAGGGACTCAGGAGGGAATGCTGGGATACCAGGGTCCCAGTCTCAGTGCTTGAAGACAAGGGAGGGTGGGAGGAGGGGAACACCATCTAAGGGCATCTGCTGCCTTTCCTGTGGCCCCTGCCATGGAGTGTGCAGCGCGGGTGCTTCAGGCATACTTTTAGTGACAAGGGAGCAGCAGTACCTGGCTCCTCTCTTTAGATGAGAGTATCCCATCCTCTGGCCATGGGAGATGCCAGTAGAGTGAGGTGGAACAGTCCCCTGGGACTCTCTCTCTATGATACTTTTTCTTCCTCAGCCCCTCAGCTGATGGGGAGATGAACATGGCTCCCATGACCATCCAGGCCTATCAGGAGACATATGGTACTACAGAAGGCAGCCAGGGAGACCCAGCTGTGGCCCCTCAACAGCCTGCAGATCCCAGCACCCTGGAGCTGGGGAACAACTTCAGTGTACTCAGTCAGCTCGCCCCATCTGAGGCCCGTACCAGCAGGTAAGATCTTACCCTGGCCTTCTGATGCCTGTAGCCAAGGTGTGTGTGATGGCCACGCGGTAGGAGGGATCTGCTTCTCTCAGTCCAGGCCATTGTGTGACACACTGGCCCAGCCACTGCCTGGCTTCTTTTCTCAGGCAGCACTGACAACTTCCTGGGATTAGGAAGCTGGAATGGGGCTGTGATCACTGCAAGAAGCCTGGCCATTTCCCAGTGCACGAGGCAGGGGGGAAGTCTGTCTCCCAGAGTGTCTGTGTGTGGGGTCCTAGGGATGGTGAAGACTATTTTCATTTATACAATGATGGTGTCAAAGTATGACCCAGAGTATGAGTTCCATAGACTGTGAGGAAGGGAGAGAAAGGGTGAAGAAGAATGTTGGTGTTGGTGTCTGTGCCCGCATGACTGATGGGGACTGGGACTGGGATAGAGGTGACTATGAAGGCCAGGCTCTCGAGAATGCTCTTCGCTTGCCAGCCCACACATCTCTGGGCACGCGCGCAGACCATTACATGCAGAGTCCTTGTGCTGCTTGGTGATTTCTAGGGTGCAAACAAAAGTGTTAGGCAGTCATGAGGAGCAAAGCAAAGGATTCCTCAGAGAAGACAGAGATACTGAGAAGAGTCAAGACTCTAGGAACCAGGGAGACAGGAGAAGGTACAGTTGAGCAAGGACATTGATTAAACAACTTCATACATGTGGCTTCTTCCTTCAGTGTGATAAAACCTGAAGCCTACTATTCAGAACAGTCAAGGGATTGAGGCAGCCTCGGTCTCCAGCTTCAGAGAAGTGGATAAAGGACATGCACTCCATGTGCACAGTGGAATTCTTTTTAGCCATAAAAAAAGTTACATCACTTGCAGGAAAGGGGGTGTAACTGGAGGTCATCATACTAAGCCAGTCCCAGAAAGATAAATAATCATGTTTTCTCTCTTTTATGGTTCCTAGATGGTTTTTTTTTTAAAAAAAGAAAGAAAAGGTACACAAAATCAGTGGCATGAAATAGAAAGGAAACCGGCGAAATGTGCTCAGTATACAAAATGCTTTATATTTTAAATTTTTTTAAAAAAATTGTCCTTCTGTGACACAGTACCAGGTACAATGAAGAAACAACAGAAAATTTTGAAGTAAGCTTTAAAAAGCACAACCTACAGATGCAGGAGAAGGTGATTGGTCCTGTTGTCCTTTCCTTTGGTGATGGATGGGCATTTCTTTCCAGGAAGCTTGAGGTTGGAGCTGGGTTTGAAGGCTAAGGAGAATTTCCCCCCAATAGACATGCTGAAGAAGGCATTCCAGGTTGAGGAAACCAGAGGCAAAGGGTAGGGGAGACTACAAGGAATGAAAACTAATTGGTGGCCTGCCAAGAAGCACTGGGAGGTGCTAGGCAATCACTTGCTCCCGAGGAGCCAGAGGGCCAACCAACTTGGTTTCATGTTGGAGATAAGTTGCATGGGGTGTCAGGTCTGGGAGATGCGCAGCGCACAAGGCAGGAGACCCATGCGAGGTTGTGGCTCAGGCTGCAGGTGAGCTGCAATGCTACAGGTGATGCTGACTTTAATTAAAAGCAATGGCGCTAGAAAGGCAGTGCCCAGATTTCTGTTTGCGGTGACAGGGTGGATGCGGAAAGGAACTAGCTGAGGATGCGGAAGCTTGAGGAGTTGCTGTGCAGATGCGATGTTCAAGTCATTGGTCTTGCTGACTTTGAAGTGCCTGTAGGGGCTCCAGGTGACAGGTCAGCCCAGTAGGCTGGAGTAGAGTAAAGATGTGACCTCTGTCTAGAGTGTCGAGGTTTGTTAGCTTATAGATTACACGTGAAGGGAGTGTTCGAGAACAGGTCTGTTGTTTTTCTACAAAATCCCCAGTTGTCTGGATAGCTGTCGCTATCAGCTTGATGGGAAAATCCATGTGGTTCAGGGATATAAAGGGAGCCTGCCCTTTGGTTCCAAACTTGTAGGCTCCCAAACTTCATTGGTAGGTGTTTCTCTCCATTTCTATTTTCTTTTTAACTCGAAATGAGAAAAACAGAGGCACTAATTGAGTGTCCTCTCTTCTAAAGTCTTAAGCAAGGACATGAAATGGGAAAAAAGTTCCATTAATTGCTTTTCTCCTTGCGGTGGCCACCTGCAAGGAGCAGTTTCTCAACAGGAGAATTGATTTGGACCCCCAGCTTGAGGGAAACAGTCCGGTATGGTCAGAAGGCATCAGAGCATGGGACAGCAGCTCACACTGGGAGTGCAATCGGGAAGCCAAGCTGAATGCCGCTTGTAACGGCGTAAATGAATGCAGACAGAAATTGTAATAAATATATACAGCTTTAATTGGGAAATAGACTTACAGAACCAGAGGTTCCCTCAGAGAACAGGAAAGCAGAAGTGGCAGCAGGGAGCATGCCTGCAATCTTTATAAGTAAAAAAATATCCTCGGGGGACCCCGCCCTACAAGTAAGGTGATTGGCTGAGTCTCTCCTACATCTCCCCTTTTTGTCTAAATAAGATAGAGCCAAACCAAATACAACTATATACAATAGTAACAAATAATAAATATAACAAACAATATTGAGCAAGAAACATATGCTGAGTCTCTCCCATAGCCGCTCAGCTCTGCACCTCCTTTTGACTGTTTTATTCAGTTCAGCGTCCCAACTCATGCTGCCACCCCTATTCAAGGAGAACCTTCCTTCCTTGAGTCAATGTCTCTAGGAACCCCCCCCCCCCCATATATCTGCCCAGAGGAATGCCTTTAAACCCATCAAGTGGCAGTCAAGGTTAACCATCAACGGTAAAAATCAGAGAGACACGAAGCCATTTAGGCCAGAAGTTTGAAGGAAAATACTGGAGGGCCTGGGGAAATGAAGATGATTTGGGTGTGGTACCAAGAAGTAAATGTTTGGATAAATGGAAGAATTAGTAAAGACTGAAGCCATGGAAACCAAACCTTTTCCTCTGATTGCCACTTTGATACTGCCTGCTTTCTAAGAGTTAGGTGTCTGCTTGGCTCTTGAGATGGGTTACCCAATGCCCTTGGGAAGTGATAGCCAGACCCCAGAGACCCAGCAAGGTCAGGCTTCTGCTCCTCTTGGCATAATACACACACACAACACACACACACACATGTATACATAACATATACATAATATATACTTTCTCAGCACTCCGGCGGCCTGTGAAAATGTGACCCCCAAGATATGTGAGGCCTGGCAGGAGACACCTGAGGTCCTACAAGGTGGCCAAGGGGACCAAGCTGTGTCTAGTCAAGAACTTGCAGATCCCAGCACTCCAGAGCCACAGAGCAGCCCCAGCGGACCTGAGCAGCAAATGAAACTGGATAATACCAAGTAAGAGCCTGCACTGGCCACCCCCCCCCCCCACACACACGGCACAGGCCTGAGGGGCTAGAGAGCAGCAGGAAGCGGAGTGAGCGAGGAAGAGTCATTGCATCATATGTCAGAACAGGGCTGCAGTGCAGCAGCCACTGAAGCCTGAAAATGTGGGCTTGGGGGAGTTTTGCATTCATGGGGTTGTGGTTGAAACATATTGCCATAATTAAAGGCTGCCACCCCCACCAAGATGGTCAGAGTGGGAGCTTTCTGACGCCTGGCTACACCAAGGGTGCTTATACAATATTTTTTCTCATTGGAAAACAAAAAACAAACAAACAAACAAAAAACTCTTTATTTTTCGAAGTCTAGTATGACTTTTCTCTATTTTTCCTGGCTGTCCTGGCTATTCTGCCCTCCGACTTGATTCTGACCCACTGTCTTGTTCTCACCTTTGCTTCCCGGGTCTCTCAGTTCCAAGAGTCTTAACAGGAATTAGGATACAATCAGAGGCCAGAGCCTGCACTGTTAATCGCCAAGGTGTGCATACTGTTTTTCTGTTTGTTATCAGCCTAGGAAAAACCTGCGCTAGGGCCAAGAGGGTCAGGCAAAGTGTTGTTAAACAGGGAAGGCCGGTAGCAGCTGGGAGAGAAGAGGAAAGAGGGCCTGAAAGAAGGGCCCTGTGGCTGATAGGAATAGAGGAAGGTGACCAGAGGCAGGCCTTGTAGGTTAGGGAGAGGAGTCATTGGAAAGGATGAAGAACTTTGGAGACCTCTTGCTGTTTACATTGCAGATACTGGGAAGTCTTCTTTATTCCTTTTTTTTTTTGTCTCTTTACTGCTGGCATCCTTTGTATGTGTGTGTGCGTGCGTGTGTGTGTCTGTGTGTGCATGTGTGTTAAGTGTATGCAGACATGCTTACCCATCTATGGGTATGTGGAGGCCAGAGGATGAGCCCAGGTGTGTTTATCTCTCTCCACTTTATTAATGTTTTGCATGGGTATGTGTGTGGTGTGTGCATGTGTTTGCATGTGCACATACAAAGTGGGTGCAGATGCATGTATGTGGGTCGAAATTGGCATCAGTTATCTTTGATAATTTTTTTTTCTTGAGACAGGGTCTCTTGCTGTACCTGGAGCTTGCCAATTCCTGTTAGTATAGCTAGCCACCTTGCCCCAGGGATCACCTATTTCCACGTCCCCGGTGTTGGGGTCATAGATGACTGCCACATTGCCTAGATTTTTTGCATATTCAGTCATCACATTTTATTCTCCCCAGCCTCTCTACTTTATTTTTTGAGACAGGGTCTCTCGTAACTCCTGGATCTTACTGTTTCGGTATGAAGGGTCCTAACATGAATTCGAATGCACAGCAGCAAGAGTCTAGAGCCTGCACTGTTAATCACTGTGCTATGCATGCTGAGTCAGTAAGGGCTGGCCAAAGAAAGGCCTCGAGAGCTACTTAGGTGCTGACATCCAGGCCCAGGGCCATGTGCTGCAGCCAAGGTGACTGGTGTCTTGCAGAATGAGGTGCATCTTACCTACCTTCCCATTAATGCATGAGTCCAACTCTCTTCCCATGGCCTGCAGTTCTCCAGGGAGTTTGATGTGGGGCGAGGGAGTTAATCCTGCAGAAAAACTGTCTTTTCTGGTTTCCGAACTAGCACACTATACTGTTTGCCCTGGCTGCTCCCTCCTGGCTGCCTGATGGATACGTTACTGATGCCAAGGTTCTAGGCTGTAGTCCAGAAATCACAGTAGAGATTGAAAGACGTTTCACCCTGAATCATTTTGATTTAGGCAGTGTCTCTCCCCATCCTACCTGGGTTTTCTCGTCTGCATAGAGAGAGGCTCCACTCACTAATCTCTCAGGAACATTCAAGAGCAGCTACTGTTACCCAAACACTGGCATGCTTTCAAAGGCCTTGAAGTAGCAAACTTGAGGTTAGTCCATAAAGCACTATTTAACTCAGAAAGTAGAGCCAAGCTCACTCTTTTCTCCATTTCTACCAGGCTGCAGAGCCCTTCAAGCTTCGCGGTCACTGTTAATGTTGCTGCCGCTTCTGAAGAGCTGCGTATGCCAACTGCCTCAAGTGAGCTGGACTGCAGCTCAACTACGTAAGAAGGGCAACTAAGCTGTGATGTTCTTACTCATGGAGGTTCCCCATAACCTCCTTGCAAGTAAAGGATGTCACTTTTTTTCTGTGTTGCTTTCTCTATGAGGTCTCCTTCAACTCCTGGCATCCCAGTAGCAAATGGACAGATATAGTACAGTTCTTAGTTGCGCAAGTATAAACCTTATACTTCCCAAGCGTACTGGTAGGATTGGACATGGTCCTGTAGCATGCTTTCCTTCTCCACATCTCAACAAGAAGCTACTTATAGGACACTAGGAGATGCAGCTGGTGGCAAGGCTTTGCCATCTGCAGGGCCTTGCTAGCATCCCTGAGGGACATGCCTGGGAAGACCCATGAAAGCCAGGGAGGCCAGGTCTGTCTGTCTGTCTGTCTGTCTGTCTGTCTGTCTGTCTGTCTCTCTCTCTCTCTCTCTCTCTTTCTCTCTCTCTCTCCCTCTCTCTCTCTCTCCCCCACTCTTTCACCTCTTAGTCTACAAGAAGGGATGCCAGTCTAGGTACCCTGCTGAATAAGAGGTATGTGCTGAGATACCAAAACAGTTCTCTGCTGATATCAGGCCAGGGGTCAGGAGCATGGAATTGCAGGTCAATATTGGGACTACACTGAACCATGATAGAGCAGAACTAGTTTCCAAAGCTTGGAAGGCTCCCCCAAAGCAGAGAGTGAGGTGACTTGTAGGTCCCCAGAACATGATTGATAAGGAAATATGAAGTAGCAGGTCAATGCTGCAGGTAAGGTGCTGAGTGGAAAGAACCAGCCATCTGTCGCTCAGCCACTGACAACATTCTGATTGTGGGTGGAATGTAGAAGGAGACTCAGCCACAGAAGAGGTAGAAGAAAGCAGAGGGCCGGCAACACCCAAGTCTGGGAGAGGGCTGGGGGCTCGAGCTTCCATGGAAGAGGGTGTGCTACCATTGGTTCAGGGAGCCATCTTTTACATCTCTCAAACCATACACAAAATGAACCCAGGGCCTAAGATTTGAGGCCACTTGTCCAATGGCATCAACAGCCTGCATCTCTGTCTGCGGCTACCCTTGCAGCCTGGCTTGTGGAGCCCACTAGCCCCTCTACCCTTCTCGTGAGCTTCTGCATTTCCATCAAACTGGGCAGGGGCACTGGCCCTCCTCTTTGGGCCAGGCCCAGTCCCCTGAAATCTTCGAGTACACATCCTATTCTGATATGCTCCTTCTACAGCAAAGGAATTCTCTTCGTGAAGGAGTACATGGATGCTACTGAAGTGGCTTCTGGAAAGCCAGTGTTTTCGCACTATGGCAGGTAAGAACAAGCGTCAGCTGCTTTGTCATAGCCTGTACCAGGCCCAGTGCTGCCTTCATTCCTGCATCCCATTTCTTCATTCAGGACTCAGTGGAGAGTAGCTACCGGGTAATCCAGTGAATGAAGGCATACTACAGATGCCTCCTAATGCATGATTTAGGGTTTGCAGGTTTTCTGTGTAGTTGGGTGACGGAAAATCATTGTTAGCCTCCATGTTCTTTCATGATCCCCTTGTCTGCTCGCTTTCTGATCTGATGCCATGCAGGAAGGTACTTCCTCTTTTCGGTGCAATACCACCCACCTACCTCTCTAACCAGCATGGTTGATCCCTTGTCAACCTGATACACAAGCCTACCCCTAGTAAGCTGTAACCTTTCCTTTCTTATCCATCCTCTGGATCACATGTTAATATCTACATTATATTAAAAACACCCTAGAATTTAAAAGTCTCAGTCTTTAAAAATTCAGTCTTTTTAAACACCCAGTCTCTTCTAAAACTGAAACTTTAAAAAAATCCAATGTCTCAATCTTGGGTGCCTATAAAATAAATAAATGTATATATTACTTCAAGAGGGAAGAACCAGGGCATAGTCACAATCAAATCAAAGCAAAACCAAACTCCAACTGTTAACAACTCAGTATCCAGTATCTGGATCCACTCACCATCTTCTGGGGTCCTCCAGCGTGCTTGGGCCGCTTCTCCAGTGCTACCCTCTGCAGCACACACGGCTTGTCTCCTCAAGGCTCTAGCTGGCTCCACGCTCCAGCCGCTGCTGTCCTTGGTGCTCATTTCATGGTACTGGAATCTCCAAAAGTACCAGGGTCTCTAGTTGCAACTGGGCTGCACGTTCACCAACAGCCTCTCCAGGCTCTCTTCAGGGCCTGCAGCCCTGCCTCAGATTGCCAGGCCTTAGCTGTTCTCCATGACCTACCACTGCACCTGGGTGACTCTTATACTATCAAGTTCAGCTGCCAGCATGAGTTACAGCCTTGGCCTCTTCTGGAACACAGCTTCTGCGTGTTGACTCAGAAGAAACACTTCCCACCAGACTTCACCTCAGTGATGCAGCTCTCTTTTCGGAGCTGATTTCTTCAGCCACAGCTGGTCAGCATCAAGTACCTCAGCAAAACAAAAGTTTCAGTTCAGTACTTCTGGTTCCTTACTAATCACCACTGATATTTCAGCCCAGCTAACTAGAACCACAGATTCTCAACTCAGAATATGCAAAAGCCCTTAGAGGAGTCATTAAGGACGCGCTCTCAAACTTCCCTCGGGAACTTCCCAGGCCAGGCCTCCATTATCCGCACTCTTCTCAGCGTTCTTTTTTTTTTTTTTTTTTTTTTGACTTTTTCTTGATGGTTACTTTTTTTTTTATTGAGAAAAGAGAAAAAAAAAACAAATTTCCTCCTCCTCCCAGCCTCCCATTTCCCTCCCCCTCCTCCCACCCTTCTCCCCCTCCTCCCACCCTTCTCCCCCTCCCCCCACTCCTCTCCCCCTCCCTCTCCAGCCCAAAGAGCAGTCAAGGTTCCCTGCCCTGTGGTAAGTCCTAGGTCCTCAGCGTTCTTATTGTCCACGCTCCCACAGAATGGCCCAAGCTTTGGACACTCAGTGGCTTTTCTAACCCAGGGTTCCACAGTCCTCCCAAAAACATGGTCAGGTTGGTCACAGCAATACCCACTATCCTGGTACCAGTTTCTGCCCTTATCAGAGTTATTGTAGGGACCAAGCACCAAAACCAAAGCAACTTGGGGAGAAAAGTATTTAGCTTACACTTCCACATCATAGTCCACCACTGAAGGAAGTAGGACAGGGACTCAACCAGGGCAGGGACCTGGAGGCAGGCGCTGATGCAGAGGCCATGGAGGGTGCTGCTTACTGCCCATGACTTGCTCAGTCTGCTTTCTCCAAGACCACCAGCCCAGGATGGCAGCACCCACAAAGGGCTGGGCCCTCCCATGTCAATCACCAACTGAGAAAATGCCCTCCAGACGTTCCTACAGCCTGATCTTATGGGTGCATTTTCTCAACTGAGGTTCCTATTTCTCAAATGATTCTACCTTGTGTCACCTTGACATAAAACTAGCCAGCACATTTAGTTTCTGATTTCCTCAGAGTCTGGGCTCCTGGAAGTTCCCATATAAAACCCACACCTATGTACAAGAAGTGAAACTCATCATTTTTTCCTGCTGGTCGAAGGACCTGAGGTTCCCACTGGCTCATATTGTGCTCTCTTCTCCGTTACTCTTCCTGCAGTAGCAGCAGCATTGAGGACTCACTGAACCCGGAGAAGAAACCCCCACATGAAGGAACTCCACCCTCCGAGAGGTACGTCTGCTTTCTTGACAGAGGTCTTCCAGTTCCCTAGATGAGAGAGCACTGAGGAAGAGCTTCACATGGGTCTTTTCTCTGCTACTTTGAAACTTGTGGTCTCTTTGCAGATCACACAGTGGGACACAGCATAAGGTGGTCCTACCCTAGTCAGGATGTCACATCTGCATCAAATGATGAAACCCAGATGAAACGTAGACACAAAAGGCTGCCGAGGAAGGAAATTTCAGTGTCTGAAAGAAAGCCCAAGGAGGCTCTTGACAACCGGATAGACTCTTCAGAATAGAACCCAATGATTCATTTGATTCAATTGCACATCTGACAGCTACCAAAAGAAAACACAACTACACAAGACATTGTTGTATAGGGAAAACAAAGTTGTGTCTTCAAGAAGACACATGGTCTTCTTGGGTGCACAGTGGCCTGAAGCCATGGAACTGAACTAGGAGTATAGCAGATAACAGCAGTCATATGACAAATAAGGGTTATTTTTAAATTCTTGGAATAGGAAAGAAAAAAGTCTACATTAGAGAGTGAATCTATTCAAGTTATGGGGGACAGTTACACGGAGTTACTGGCAAAGCCAAAAATGAATCCTGGGCCTTGACTCCTAACAGGTTATGAATATTTCACCTCTGGCAAATATTCTCACTTATTATGAGATCTGTCTTACTGTGGATTACACTCAGAAGTCACAGTTAGACTGGGGAGAAAGTGGCATGAAGCAGAGCCTACCAGTGTACTCCCCTTCACCCCTACAAACAGGTACAGAGACTTGTAAAGAGGTAAGGTTACAGATGTCCCCTCCATCATATTTGAAGAAAAATCCATATAACTGAATCCTGAGCAATCACCAATCACTTGATAAGTCACTCATTACATGACTTCATAGTCTATTACATGCTGCTTAACAAAATACCCAAGGCTGACATGGGAGAACGCCTTTACTACTGGCATTCAGGAGGCAAAGGCAGGGGAATCTCTGTGAAGTTGAGGCCTGCTTGGTCTATACAGCAAGTTTCAGGGCACCTAGGACTACACAGTGAGACCCATTCTCAAAAACAAACATACAAAGAAAATACCTAAATGCCCACTTTGTGAAGGGCAGGGTACTAGGGGTCAAGTAAATAGAGTCCAGGTTTATTTAGTTCACAGTCTTTGAAATTCAAGAGCATGGACCTACTATCTATTTGGCTATGGTTCTAGATCTCATAGCAGACGGCATCACATAGACTAGAAGACATCCAGGAGAGGCACATTGGAGAAAAGGAAAGTCAGGCTTCTTTATTACATCCTCACAGGAACGAAACCATTCTCTTCCAAGGAAGCACCTACAATGAACCAATCTCTTAATTGTAACCCCCTATAAAATCAAAATAAAAAAGCAGATCACATACTTCCAACATATAATGGCATAGAATATATATAACCATTCCAAAACATAGGGAAGAGAGCATAGTGAGGAAATATTGGACCAAAGCAAGACCAAAAACCATCAGGGCAAACTCCAAACTCTGCCTCTGCATGTCTGATGTCAAAATGTTCTTCAGATCTCCAACTCCTTTCAGCTTTGTTGACTATGACACACTTCTCTCTCGGGGTGGTTCCACTCCCTGTCAGCAGTTTTGGGCAAGTATCCCATGGCTCTGGCATCTCCAACATCTTGGGGTCTTCAAGGCAATCCAGGCTTCACCTTCACAGCTTCACGCAATGGCCTCTCTGGACCTCCATGCAGGGACACCCCTGACACATGCCTGGCCTCAGAAGCTTTCCTTAGTTGCAGAGGGTGATTCCATAGCCCCTTTCTTCTGTTCTTGACTCTAAAACCAGAACCATGTGGCAGAAGCTGCCAAGTTCTGCTGCTTGCTGGGGCTGGAACATGGCCCCCTCATTCAAATATATTTTCACTGGCTTTCTGTTTTTGATGGTTTCCTTCACTGCTTAAGTTTGGCTATCCTGGAACTCAGCTCTATAAACCAGACTGGCTTCCAACCTCTACCTCCCGAGTGCTGGCATAAACTTTCCTTAAGTCCTTTTCACAGTTGGAAGCTTAGTTGGGTGGGGTCTTCCTCTGAGGTCACTACTCCTTTTATTCCACTTAGCATCAGGCTTTTCTTTAGTCTGTTTACAATTCATGGAGCTCATTTTCTCCATAAACTGCACATTTTGTATATTTCCTTGCTTAGCTTGCTCATTTTCATTATAGATCTGCATAAAACTGGTCATTAATAGCAACACAACATAGTCAATGCCAGGTTGTTTTAAAATGTCCTCTGCTAAAACTGTAAATACACAATTCTTCACTTTAGCCTCAGGCAGATATTTTGGACTAGGGCAGAAAGCAGCTATATTCTTCACCAAAATATCACAAGAACCATCTCTAGGCCACATACTAATATTCTTCTCTTCTAAAACCTCTTGTGTTTGGTCCCCTTGGTTAAAATCGCCCTCAGCACCATTGTTTTCCATGTTCCTACTAGTGTGGCCCAGTGTGCCATACTTAAAGCATCCCACTGCTTTCCTAACCCAAAGTACCAAAGTCCAAATTCTTCTGAACCAAAACATGGTCAGGTCTATCACAGCAGTACCCCCATCCCTGGTACCAACTTCTTAGTTGGATTTTATTGCTGTGAAGAGACACCAAGACCACAGCAACTCTTTTTTTTTTTTTTCGAGACAAGGTTTCTCTGTAGCTTTGATGCCTGTCCTGGAACTAGCTCTTGTAGAACAGGCTGGCCTCGAACTCTCAGAGTTCTGCCTGCCTCTGCCTCCCAGGTGCTGGGATTAAAGGCATGCACCACTACCACCCGGCCACAGCAACTCTTATAAAGGAAACCATTTAATTAGGACTGGCTTACAGTTTAGAGGTTTGGTCCATTATCATCATGGTGGGACATGGCAGCATGCAGGCAGGCATGGTGCTGGAGAAAGATCTATGAGTTCTACATCCAGATCTCTAGGCAGGAGGAAGAAGGAGTGAGGTACCAGACCTGACTTGAGCATCTGAAATCTTAAAGCCTACCTCCAGTGACACACTTCCTCCAATAAAGCCATATCTACTCCTACAAGGCCATACTTCCTAATAGTGTCACTCACTGCGAGCCTATGTGAGCCATATTTATTCAAACCACCACACAGGGAAAACCATTAATAGTCATGGCAGTGCTAATGACACCCTGGCTCCTGTTGGAATCAGGTCTACAACTCTGGAAGACAGAACTCTTAATTTTAGCCTGTAGGATCAGAGAAAAGAGCCTCTTTCAGCAGTTCCTGTTAGGGATAGAAAAGAAAAGAAGGGAGGATCGGAGATGATTCTCAGAAATAAAAGGAACCTTAGAAAAGAGGATACAACTGATCCAGAAGTCAGGATCTTCCAGAGAATTTAGGATGAGCTCTGAGTAGAGTATACAATGAGGCTAGAGATAGGGTGGCCTTGATAGTAACTGGGAGAAAGGGTGTGCCCCATGGTCCCAGGCATGCAGAAGAGGGCTGTTAGTACTGATTCAGGAGAATAGTTCCAAGTTTGAGAACCAGTTTGGCATAGGTGATACAACAGTTTGGCTACCAGTTATACAACACAACACAATGGGAAGCTGGGAATACTGGCGAACCTAGGTCTGCCTGCACCAAGCTAGATCTGCTGCATCCTATCAGAGTCTGAGTGCCTGGTTCTTGTTTCTATCTCCTAGACCAACTGAAGGCGCCTGTACTTACTGTAGCCGAGAGATCGGAGATTGTCCAAAGATTACCCTTGAACATCTTGGCATCTGCTGCCATGAGTACTGTTTTAAGGTAAGACAGAGGTGTGAATAGTTTTCAGAGCACAGATCTGATGAGAGAGTATGGATTTCCGTGCATAGCTGTGAACAATCTTAGAGGCTCAACAGAGCACTGAGCTGGTTAGTAACATAATGGAGGCAAAAAGGTGTTCGGGGCAGAGACTGTTTCTCACAGAGGGTCAGTAGTGCAAAGGTCCCAATACCGAAACATGGCTTATTCTAACTGGCATGAATAGAATGGCAAGAATGAGGAGTTATTGGATTAAATTCTCCTAGGGGACATGTAAACAGATGTCCTTTTCACCCCATATAGAGCACCAAAAATATATGAAAGAAATAATTACATTCAAGTCTAGTTTGGTGAAACAGTGAGTTTAATCAGAGTTAATTACAGGAGCATAGATGAGAGGTGCCTATAGGAACATGGGTAACTCATGACAAAGTTACACGACCAAGAAAAGTACCATCCCCATAGCAACCATTAACTGCTTATATATTCTTGGGGTGAGGTGAGGCCTACGGCATCTAGTCTCATGTGCTTCATATATTATTCCTCAAGTGCCAGTGACCCTTTCCTGAGTGCCGCATGAGTCCCACAAGGGAGTGTTATCGGGCCCAATCTTGGGAAGATCTCACATAGGTACTCACAGACACTAGGATTTTAAGATGCAAGTCATGCCTTCCTTGCCAGGAGAACAAAGTTCCACAGGGGTTTATCCCTCCCTCTGATTCCTACATTTTTCCATTCCCTCTTCTGTGATGTTCCCTGGGTCTTGGAAGGAGGTGATAGAGATACATGATTATTTTCTCCCAACTGGGGCTAAGCAACAGTCGTATCACTCAGCACTGAGACCAGTTAGAAATCTACAGCAACTACCTCTCACCGAGAAGAGACACTTCCCTGATGAAATTAACAACAGCAATAATCTGTGGCTATGAACAATGTCTGTTTAACAAAACAAAAGCAGTACTTTCCATACTAGGACCTATGCACTCCCCAGCCAGTGCCTTTGACAAGGCTTACAGTATGAAATGTGAATTACCTTCCGTGAGGCTGGCCTTAAATCCAATTGGGATGTTCTTGGTTATAGCAGTGCACATATCTCATGTATCAATAGTAGAGCATGCAGGATTGTCATCCAGGTACGACTATTGGTGACAATTCTCCCTCAGCAGCCTGTATAGATAGCATCTGAGCCAGGACATCACACTCATTTACTAAGGCAATGGCAGTTGTTTAACCACTGGGCCTATGGCTTCCTTTCTAGTGATATTTCATCTGTATTTTAATAAATAACATTTGCCTGAAGGTCAGAACAGCAAAGCAGCCAGCTACTGGCTTTTACCTCTACCTCAATTTGAAATGGTGATCCTGCCTTTAGGAATCTCAGAATGAGACTGTGTCTGAGAGCTGCCTCCTCCCGTCTTATAATATTCCCTAGTTCTGGGATTAGAGGTGTGCACCACTACCACCCAGTTTCTATGGCAACTAGTGTGTCTACTGGGAGTAAAGGTGTGTGTTACCACTACCTAGTCTGTAAGACTGACCAGTGTGGCTGTTTTACTCTCTGATTTTCAGCCAAGCTTTATTTATTAAAATGCAAATAAAATATCACTACATTCCTTAGCAGCACAGGTTTTGTTTAAGTTCCTTGAATCAGATATGAATTTCTCCTTGTGAATCAGAAAAGTAGTTCTATCCATAACCACATTTTAGTAAAAGTAGCCTTTATAAGTGGTGTACCAAGTTGCAAAAAGAAGGTACAATGTTTATATCCCTGTCTCTTTAAGATATGAGAAAGGCTTAGTAATAGAAAAATATCAAAAGATGAATTTTGTCATATAGACATAATATCTTTTTCTCTTTTAACTAAATAGCTGAGGGAGAGGAGATGCATTTACTGATTAAAATGTTTTCCTTAATGTTACTTTAAATTTATCTGTTGTGAGCTTAACAGTTATAGAAGTCAGCCCCCTTTTTAGATCATCATAGGGGATGTGAGCCAGCAATAGCCCCCCTATCTAAACTATTAGCCTAACAAAAGTGGAAGAGACAGGGAGGAAAGAAAGAGTACTTTTAAGACTTGAGATTAAGAGTACATATGCAAATAGTTATTGAAATTACCTGGCACGAGTGAGAAGAAAACACGGGACACACGTATGATTCAGCTAAAACCCATCTGCGTCATCAGCGTATAACACAGCCACACCAACCCCCTGTGCGCATGTACTAGGCAGCTTTTAAAAGCTGGATGTACCATTTCTCTCTCTCTCTCTGCACACCCCAGGCCTGTACCTGTACGCACCCCCTCTAATAAACTCCTTAGGATCAATGTGGAGAGAGAGAGAGAGAGAGAGAGAGAGAGAGAGAGAGAGAGAGAGAGAGAGAGAGAGAGAGAGAGAGAGCGCATGACTACATTATACGCTGATGATGCAAATAGGCAACTCAGGTATGTGCGCAAGGGTTTTAGCTGAGTCATACATGGATGTAACTATGCATGTGCGCACATGGGTCATACAGGACCCTTTGTGCCTAAGGGCCCATGCCTACTTTTAGAACTCAGAAGTGTAGCCTTATCTGTGGCTGAATAATTACAGTTATTCCTAATGTGCTGCTTTGGGGATGTAGTTCTCCATTTTGTCTTGGGCTGCTTTCTTGAAGGTAGAAGATGACCAAGGACATATAGGGGGATCAGGTCTTAAGTTGTCTCCTGAAAAAGCCATGTACTATTCCATCTAATCCAAAATCAGAGAATGGATATGTCAGGGAAATTTTTATTTATTTATTTATTTTGGTGCCAGTGGCACTTATCAAACTCTAAGTGGGTCTCTGGCCAGAAAAACAGAACTAAGGAACCTAAGGTAACATGAAAGCCCTGCTTAACAAGGTAGGTCAGCAAGCAACAGACAGGGAAACTCACCAACACTGCAAGATGGATTTCTCTCAGCTTGAGTCCCCAAAACATTAGCAGTGAGGAAACATAGCTCCACGTTGTAATGATTGTTCTGTCTCTTTAAGAGACAAGCCATGCCCACTCCCCCCCCCCATCCACTGAGGCAGGCAGGTCTTCCTTCCTGCTTGCAGCCTTAGCTTCTTTCTATCTCTGTCTCTCTCTCTCTGCCTCTCTGCTCTTCTCCCCTTCTCCTTTCCCTTCCACAACCACTAAATAAATATCCAACCTCACTCTGCATGGCATGCCTCTGTCTCTCATCTGCTGCCCGAGACCAGCCACCTTCAGAACCTGCCATGTGGTCTTGTGTGCCTTCCCTGCCTGGGACTGGCTGCTCTCGGGACCCCCTGTGCACTGCCTGCCAACGCCGGGGATCCTGCAGCAAGCTACTGGGGATCCGCAGTAATTTTTAATAATCCATTACACACATGGTCATCCACATCATCTTCTTTGGAGACTTTTGGATTGCCACTAGGACCTGACATTATCACAGGAAGTTTTTTTTTTTCATGAAACATTTTAAATGCCATATTCAGGAGATCTCTGAAGAGTTTAAGGATCATTATCTATTAATTATACCTGTTTTTTTCCTGAGGCTAGTCTTATGTGGAAAAAAAAATTATACCTGTTTTTAAGCAAACTTAACTTGTTTTTAGTTACTTGCTTTAGACTTAACATTGAAAACACATACAGGAGACTAAATAAAGTGTGTCCCTGTAAGTGAATTATATTTTTAATTTAGCATGACTGTGAGCCAGAGAGATGCCCAGATGATAGGCACCCCAGGAGGGGACAGGAGGGTCCAAGAGCCAGAGAGACCAAGAGTTACATGATAAGTGTAGCAGGCTGCAGAAAGGAGCCAGAGAGACACTAAGTAGACAGGTAGACACAAATGGTTAGAAGAGGTGGAGGGAGGATGGCACATTTGCAGTCAGATTTGGTGGGTGGAAGAAGGCAGTGGAAACAAATGAGCTGTACATACCTTAGGAGACTCTGATCAGCAGCTTAGTTTGGAGAGGCTGAGTCCCTTGGAAAGGAACTCATATATGTCACTCCTGTGGTTTCAACACCAGGTGAATGAAAATGACATGACAGCTCCTAGGTAGGTATGCTTGAGGAAAAGGTTTTACTGTAGATATGAGGGAGAAAACAGTCAGAGGCATCTGGAAGGGTCCAGACTGAACCATGAGAGCAGAGGGACGACAGGGGTGGGGGTTGGGGGAGCAAGACAGGAAGAGGAGAGAGAGGAGAAAAGGGGTCTAAGAGAGAAGCTGCAGATCAAGAGGCCAAGAGAGAAACCAGGAGCCAAGAGAACCAAAAGCATGTAGCCAAAATGGCTGAATTTTTTAAGAAAAGAGAAGCTCGTGTGTGTGTGTGTGTGTTTGTGTGTGTGTGTGTGTCTGTCTGTGAAGCAAAGCTCAAACTACAGAGGTTCTGGGTAGGGGATGGGGGAGAGAAGTTCTGAGAAAAGCCTGCTAGAACTCTGTCACAGGTACTGGGAAAGCCTGGCAGCTTCTGCATTGATATGTTAATAGGGACCTCATTCATTTGGTCAGGGTTTCTTTGATATCTAACACTTAGCAGACTGAGGTGTTCCCCTAAGCTTTAGGGACTTCACCTCAGACCAAACTGGGATTTGTGGCTTCAGCATGGAAAGGAATTTTAGGACTAGCTCATATAATAAAGATATTTTAGTACAGTCTTAATCATGAAGATCAAAACAAAAACTCTGCAGGTGTGAGTCTAGCTTCCCGAGTGAAAGTGATCTTTACACATGGAATTTTTGATATCTTAAGACAGGCCACTTCCCTTCCCTCTGGTATAGAATCTCAGTGTTAGGAGATAAAGAATGAACAGGCAAAGTCAGAGAAAGAGATGAACATAGACAGTTATCTCAAAGTGTATGTGTAATTTTGATATAAACTCTAATTTTTTAGATTAAATCCATTTTTTCTTTAATAGTTGCTTTTGTTTGCTTGGTCAGTACAAAGTATATTGTTTACCTTGACTGGTGGACTTCTATGAACAGTACCAGAAGAGTTGGTTTGAGGTCATATGCTTAATGATAGACCATTTACATAAAGAACAGCAAAATTATGGGGAACCTAAGACCTAGGCTACTCTTGAATACATGTGGTTACAGCGCTGACCATTCACAAGGGAGAATGCAATTGAAGTAGGCAAGAACTCCAGAGCTTTGTGAGGGAAGATGACTAGGAGTTAGAGGGGAAGGAAGGTGAGTTGTAAAGTAGCAAGGAGGAGGCAACTGCCATGTGTTGTACCTCTGACTGGCACATAGGGAGAAGTACTGTCAGGTAAGTTCTAAGCTGGTTCAAGCAGGAATCCCATACTGTGTGACAAAGCTGGAGTTGGGGCAGGAAGCTGCTGTGCTTAGGGGATCATTGGAAAGTGAGCAGAATGACCAAGAGTTGTAGGGAGACCACTTAGCCCCGAAATAATCACACTGAAACTGTATTATGTAAATTACTGCTTGGTCTATTATCTCTAGCTTTTGCTTGACTGACTCTTAATCTTGATTTAATCCATCTCCATTAATCTGTACATCACCATGAGGTCATGGCCTACAGGAAAGTTTCAGCATATCTGTCTCCAGCAGCTCTATGGCTTCTCCTAACTCCACCTCCTTTCTCCCAGCATTCAGCTTAGTTCCCCCACCCGCCCTGCCTAGCTCTGTTCCCCTATAGCTCTGCTATAGGCTGAAAGCAGTTCCTTTATTTATCAATGGTAATCACAGCATACAGAGGGAAATCCCACATAAACCAAGAGTTGTATCCCATGGGCCTTAAATGCTGGATTAGGGAAGCATTCTCTCTTTCTTTGTTGTGTGGTGTATCTATGTGTAGGTGTTCATGTATCTTTACATGTTCATGTATCTTTAGTGTCATGGTATTCTTGTGGAGGTCAGAGGACAGTTTGGGTGTTGGGCCTCACTTTCCACCTAGTTTGAAATGGTCTTGTCTGCTAGTGTATGCCAGTGTAGCTGGCCAATGAGTTTCTAGGGAGTCACGTCTCTTCCTCCCATCTCACTTTAGGGGTGTGGAAATTACAGGTGCATGCTATCACATCTAGATTTATATGGGTCCTAAGGGTCCAAATTCAGGTCCTGATGCTTACATGGCAAGTGCTTTACCCACGGAGTCATCTCCCTAGTCCAGCATTATTCTTATAAGGTCACAGAGTTGCTCAGCATCAGCAGCAGCCTGTTCAATTATAGGGAGCTAGAGACATATTTTTCTCAGTACTGGGGGTTAAACCTAGGATTTTACATGTGTTCTTTTTTCTTTTCTTTTTTTTAATTGATTTTTATTGAGCTCTACATTTTTCTCTGCTCCCCTCCCTGCCTCTCCCCTCCCCTTTCAATCCTCCCCCAAGGTCCCCATGGTCCCAATTTACTCAGGAGATCTTTTTCTACTTTCTACTTCCCATGTAGATTAGATCTATGCAAGTCTCTCTTAGTGTCCGCATTGTTTTCTAAGTTCTCTGAGATTGTGGCTGGCTTTCTTTGCCTTATGTTTAAAAACCACCTATGAGTGAGTACATGTGATAATTGTCTTTCTGTGTCTGGGTTACCTCACTCAAAATAATGTTTTCTAGCTCCATTCATTTTCCTGCAAAATTTAAGATGTCATTATTTTTTTCTGCTGTGTAGTACTCCATTGTGTAAATGTACCACATTTTCCTCATCCATTCCTCGATCAGGGGCATTTAGGTTGTTTCCAGGTTCTGGCTATGACAAACAATGCTGTGTGAACATAGTTGAGCACATGTCCTTGTGGCACGATTGTGCATCCTTTGGATATATACCCAAAAGTGGTATTACTGGGTCTTGAAGAAGGTTCTTTCCTAATTTTCTGAGAAATTGCCACACTGACATCCAAAGATGTTGTACCAGCTTGCATTCCCACCAGCAATGCAGAAGTGTTTCCTTTACCCCACAACCTCTCCAGCATAAGTTGTCATCAGTGTTTTTGATCTTGGCCATTCTTACAGGTGTAAGGTGGAATCTCAGAGTTGTTTTGATTTGCATTTCTCTGATGACTAAGGACGTTGAACATTTCCTTAAGTGTCTTTCAGCCATTTTAGATTCCTCTGTTGAGAGTTCTCTGTTTAGGTCTGTACTCCATTTTTTTATTGGATTGTGTGATCTTTTGGTGTCCAATTTCTTGAGTTCTTTGTATAATTTGGAGATCAGACCTCTTACATGTGTTCTACTAGTGCTTTGCTACTAAGTTTTATCATTGGCACTACCCAGCTTCTTTTTACTGTCCCAGGAAAAGTGATCACACTGGTTAGGGTCATTTGTATACATTTTCTGCATGCCCAGAAGTGACCCCTAAATGTATCATCATCATTCTAAGTCTATGCTCCAGTTTGGCACACACTAACTAAAAGGATAGAAGCATTATACAGGAAACAGAAGCACACTTGATTTACATTGAGGAATACTCTGCCAAGAAAAAGTAGCCAGGGTGTCATCAGAAGGGTGCATGGCGAGAATGAGCATTGGGACTTGAGTTATCTAAAGGTTGTCCTCTCCTTCCCAGCACCTCTGACTGCTTGAAGCTAGAAGCCCCAGGTTGGAGACACTAAGAGTTCTGGAAAACCAGGCACTTTCTGGTCTCCTTTTACTCAACTCTCAGTGCCAGGAAGTCCTGCTACTGACATTCCTGAGGACATAGGTTTGTGGGAGGAACTGGACTACTAAAACATCCTTTTCTCTTCTGTGGGACACTATCACCTTCCTCAGGACCTTAAGCTTCATATCCTCCAGCCTCTCCCAATCTTATAAATAGGAACGGGAAAAGTTTCAGTAACTTTCCATTTCACTCACGCAAGATTTTAACCTGGGCTGCCAGGCAGTGGCGGCGCAGGCCTTTAATCCCAGCACTCAGGAAGCAGAGGCAGGTCAATCTCTGTGAGTTTTGAGGCCAGTCTGGTCTACAGAGCAAGTTCCAGGACAGGCCCCAAAGCTACACAGAGAAGCCCTATCTAGAAAAAAAAAAAACATTTCTAACCTTGTCTGAATTGTGAATCTGCAACCCCTAACTAGGGTGTGCGTGTGGAGGCCAGACTGGATACATTTCCTCAGTTGTTCTCTGTGTTATTTGAGAGCAGGAACAGTGAACTTTACAGGAGTCAAAGCCCCAGGACTACTCCTGTAACTGGCACCCAGACTCTGGGGTTATGGGTTCATGCCTCTGCACCCAGCTTGTCTGAGTTCTGGAAATGTGCTCCCCAGTCCTTACTAGCTTACTTTTGCTGTTTTCTTGTGTTTATCTTGTTTCCTAGATCAGAGTTTCTATCTATGTTTGCAATGTCTTGTTATCTCCTTGAAGTCCAGGATGTGCCATCTGCTCATAGCATCTGCTTTGACCTCCACTTTGCTTTCTCTGCTAGTGTGGAATTTGCAGTAAACCGATGGGTGATCTCCTAGATCAGATCTTCATTCACCGTGACACCATCCACTGTGGGAAATGCTATGAGAAGCTCTTCTAGGTGAGTGCCGTAAGCCCATACAATAAGCAGCTAAGTCTCCCATTAGACTAAAGAAACAAAGTTTGCCCTGGTTTGGACCTGGGTTTTAGTTCAGGACCCTGATATGCTTCCATCAGCTAATCAGAGAATCCTAAGTCTTGTTTTGTAACCTATGCTACTTTGAGATCTTAGGCAATGTGGACAAAACCCCTCCTTAGGGTCCCTTTCCAAGTTGCTAGAGTCATAGTATCTTCCTTTAAAGAAATACCTCTCCCATCCAGAACCTCAGCGGACTCCTCTAACCCTGGGACACCTGGGCCTATTTTGTGACAAAGAAATTAAGATGTAGGTGGACAATGGTTCTGGACAAACACCTAGTTGGTTGGTGTGATAGAATGTGGACCTCATCCCAATCTCTGCACATTATGTCTTGTTTGCATAGCTTTAGATTTAGACTTAGTAACCGATGTTGAATAAAGCAGCCTTTGGGCCATTAGCAAGTGGGATTGTCCCAAGTGTCTGAACACAGCATATTTTCCCTCTCTAGCTACACAAAGGTTGCTTTCCCTCTAAGAAATGCCTTTGTGTTGGACTCAGGCTGACATTCACTGTAACAGTTACTCACCCCCAAGGACCCGGGTGGTCAGGTATTGGATGCTTACTTTATCTCATTGCTTTCCTTTTGGCTCCTCCAGGCTGAACAGAAGCTGACGAGTCCCAGATGCATTTGGCTGTTTAGTTGTCCCCAAATTGTTGGTTCTTCTTCCTTTACATCCTCCCCAACCTGGAGGAGTTTCACTGTACTTATGCCCACCTTGTAATGAAGTAACACATCTAGTGTCGTTATCTCAATGATGTTATAATTACACATGTATGGCCTCTTATACCTTTGAAATGCAAATCCGTATCTCAGTTGCTCCCAGGATACAGGACTCCACTTTGACTTCCCTAAGATATGTTGGCTATTGAGTGCAATGACCTGTTATCTTAGACATAAGCACAAGTGTAGGTATCAGTGTATGCAGACTTTCAGGCTTCTGAGGGGCCAAACCAAATGCTGTTGACGATCCCTGGTAGGGAAATTATAGGCACTGAATGCTAAGGGTTGGAAATAGGCTAAGGTTTAGCTTGTCTATTGACTGTATGTGTATTTTAATTTCTCATACAACTTTTAAAGTAGCTGTCTTTGAATTATGTAGCAGATTTAAAATACCTCCTCCCATTCTCTGAGTTTTTCCAGTCAGGCATGTCAGTACATATTGGAAAGTTTACCCTGGTTTAAATTTGATAGGATACAATATTAGGAGGCTTCTAACAAAAGGGATATCTGTGTCTGTTTGAATTTTGACAGCTAGTTCAAGTCTTTACCCCTAGTATCCTTCTTCTTCCTGGACTTTACATAGAAATTTTCTGAACTGCCTCGGGTGTGTACATCTCAAGACTAAAGAAAAGAGTTAAGGTTTCTTGAGACCTCACCACACACCAGGCATCACCACAAAGCACTGGCTTTTAAACTTTTTAACAGTCTCTAGATTCTCATCTTAGAAATAAAGAGAAGTGGAAAGAATCCAGTAGAAACAATGTTGTCTCTCTCTGGAGCCCGTACTTTCTCCAGTCGGGACACTGGCCAGGCACTGTGTGGAGGGTCCCGATACCTACCCTGCCCCGAGACATACTCTTAGAAATGGCAAGTGTGAAATTCACTCGTCTCCGGGCTTCTTGGATCCCTCCTTGAAGCATCACAATAATGTAATTGCCATCCAGTAGATGGTGCAGTTGCAGTAGTGACTTGTTTTCTGGTTTTGACTGTTTCAAACCAACATCAACTTCTAGGTCCCCAGGTACTCAAAGTGCTAAAAGCTGATGCCTGGCAGAGCAAGGCAGGTTCATCCCTGCAGTTTGCTCATAGACTGCTCTGATTCAGCTTCACTCTGCAGCATTAAAGTAAGATCCTTGAAAGCAATAATAGCCCTCAAGATTTGGGGATGCAAAATTGAGGCCTCTTCATTTGATTTACTTATAAAATAGCTCTTCTCTTTCTTCAAATTTTGAGTCCTAATCACATTTAAGCATGGACTTGTTCTTCCTATCAAGTTATCAGAGAACATTCTATTTATTTGTGTATTTATCTGCTGCATGTACTCTGAAGGGGAGAAAGAATACAGTAGGTCACATCCCCACACTAATTATCAACTAGTCTTTCTCAGTCCATTTCTAGCATGGGACTTGGCAGATGGTGGGCAGTAACATATGGGTGCCAAATGAATTAGTAAAAGTCTCCCCTTTGGTTAGAAGTGTTACTTGGGAATCTCCTTGCAGGCCTCAAAGATGGGATCCAAAGTAAAGAGGCCATGGTGGAATGGTTTCCCCATCTTAAAGGTGTACTTTATCATTTAAGCAGTTTCAGAAATATGGAAAATACTCTAAGACAGCTTGCAGTGTTTTAGTATTGATTTGAATTCAAAATAGCCCTTTTCTCTCAAAAAATTCTGCAATTAAGAGGGTTGGTTTTTCATTATTTTCTTTTTAATTGCTTCGTTTCTAGTTATATTTGCTTAATACACATTAATGTATGCAGATTATAATAAATGTTAAGATATTACACATCAGCATGATTTCCTTTTTAAAAAAATTTTTTTTTGTGTGTGTGTGTATGCGTGTATGTAAGTATAACTTGGTGATTTTAGGCCTGTGGTTTACCAGAATCCATTCTTGCTACAAAAGCAAGCTGGATATGGTCATGCCTGTAATGCTGCTGCTCAGGAGATTGAGACACAAAGATTACCAAAAGTTTGGGGAGAGGCAAGTTACTCTTGAGTTGGAGGAGGTAAATCTTGGAGCTGTAAGCCTAAAGGAAGAGAAAGAATTGCTGACTTACTAATAAATATTTCCTGAGTGCCCACCATAGATGCTACTGGGCCATGAGAGAGTGATGCGTAAAATCGGTGAAAATAAGACTAGGGTTGAGGGGGAGCAGAAGCCACCAACCTTATAAAACATTGGTTCACAAGCTCTGCACATTACAGTCACACTCATTCAGTAACACGTTTTACATCCATCGACATCCATTTAAGACAGCAGACGCTCACTGAGTCCAGTCTCACGCTCTAATACACCCATTCTCACATACAATAACGTAATCATGTTCACCTTCAGCGATACACAGTCACATTCAGAGATGGCCACAAATGTTCCCAACATTCAAAAACCTGCTCCTCCACACACAGTCAGTCACATCCACACCTATTCACTGGCCAACACTCCGGGAATCCTGGAGCCTGCCTTCTGGAGTGCACCCCCCCCCCCCCCTTCAGCATGCAGCCCCTGCATTCCCATTCATGCCAAGTGCCCCAGGAAGGCAGATAATTATTGTACACCATACCCATTGGCTACCAATAGTCTGACTCCTTCCCATCCAGGAGACCACTGTCATCCTTCATGGTCTCAACATGGACACATGCCAGTGTCAACCCAGCCACCACTGTTGCCCTCCAACTCTCCCAGCAAAGGCAAAACATAGCTGGAACATTCATGAAATTTATTCAACAAAAACTTGTACTAAAACCACTAAAAAAAAGGTAACACAGAAACTTTCAATGGGCACTAGAAGTTACAGGCTCTGCCCTTCCCCCCTCGCAGGGTCCTGTCTACACAAGGACCTTCTGCTACAATATGCTGTCTTAGGTGCCCTAGATTTGCCTCTTGTCAAGATGAGCTCTGATAATGTCCCTTATGAATGCTCTCAAGGGTTTACCACTATAGGACGGTGCTGCCTTACAGCATCACAGACCCATCACAGGGAATTGGGGGGGGCTTTCTTGCAGCACCCCACCAGTCCTAGAAAATAGTCGTAAGTAACAGCAGGCATAGATCACAGCACAGTCCCACACCAAAATCAACCAGTCCCTTGTCGACATCCTTGCTTCCTGCTGGCATCCAGGACTGGGCCTGGGGGTTCTGGGGAGCACTTGATCATGTAAGAACACCCACACATCTGCAGGAGAGCAAGCAGCGGGCAGCTGGCCTAGATGTACACCGGGAAAGCAGACGAGGAGCGTTCACAACACCGGTGGGAGGGGAGCTAGGCAGCCTTGGCTGGCAAAGCAGCTCAAAGAAGCTCACAACAGGTGCCAGGAGTAGGGGCCACTGACCAGGTAGTCAGGGCCTCCAGCTGCTCAAGTTAACACACACTTCACTCACAGCTTGGTACAGAAGCAACGGGTGGGGGATGAGCACTCAAGGGGGAAAAGGACTCGGTGGACAGCCGAGTGGGTCACTATGAGGTTAGCAGATAAGTGGGGGGGGGGGGATTCCAGAGGCGGGAGTAGCCTCCCTCGGGATAGCAATGGGGAGGGGGCATCCGTGTTGGGAGAGCCAGGCAGAAAGAACCCTTGAGGCGGAGGATGGCACCTCGGCAGCAGCGCCAGGCCACCCTCTCAGGTCGGCAGGGTTGGGGGCCAGCCGTGGCAGCTGCCTGCCGAGTTGTATTCACCAGGCTCTCCTTGCTTGCTCTCTGGAATTCTCCAGCAGCCCTGGACAAAAGAGAGCAGAACAAACTACCGCCCCACCAAGTCCTCCTGCTGCTGCTCTTCCACCTCCTTGTTCACACCAATCTGTCCTGCACACTCACGGGCTCTCAGACCAGCTGAGGGCACAAACCTTATGGTGCTGCGTACGCACCCCCAGCCCGGGGATCTTCTTGGGCACTGCTGTCTTCCCCCCACTCACAGTCCTGCCGGGGTGCCAGGATGGGATCTGCCTCCGGGTTGGCACTGGTGTCCCGGGGCCTTTGGGTCCAGGGACCCTGGTGTTTCACTCACGAAAGGACTCAAGGGTGCTGCCCTCGTGAGGCTCCCCTAGAGCAGTGTAGATGATCCTGAAGACGGGCTGGATCCTGCGGCCTCCTCTCCGGGGCACTGTCTCCCGGCCTTGCTGCACTTCTCCCCAGGCATTGGTTCTCTCTGGCCAGGACAGCCCTGTGATCGGTTCCTCCAAGCCCTGTCTTGCTTCAGTGCCAGTGGGCATTCTTAGCTCAGAGTCACCGCCCTCACTACCTTCATCCTCCGATTCACTAACATCCCAACTGGAGTCTGGATCACCCTTAAGTTTGGCTATAGTAGTTCCCCATTTCTTTTTCTGGTACTCTCCACGAGCCTGGGATATGGTAGTCACTGAGCTAGGTGGAGCTTGTTTTTGCTTGTTAGAATCATTTCTAATTAGTGGCCTGTGAGATGCCTTATCCTGGCCCTGGCCATCTTGCCCTTCTGTACAACTTAAGTCCCCTGCCATTTGTCTGGGCTGCCCCATCATTTTGCCAAGGTATCTTTGTTGCCTGCTAGAAGAAGGAATTTCTAGATCTCTTGAGCCTATATTTCCCTGGGGTTGGGGTGGCTCATAGCCCCAGCCCCTCTCTCGTTTCCCAACTCCTGATCTACAACATGGGGTTTCTGCTCCTCAGGTTCATTTGTAGCCCCCAAACTTGATTGCCCCAGAGGCCCCTCCTCCCCAGCACTGGGTCTCCATAGCAGTCGCCTCCGTTTCACTGATATAATTTCCTCTCCTGTGGTCTGGGTGCTGATTTCCCGAAAGAACCCTGCCTGGGTGGTAACCTGATCTGCTGCTGCCTCACACGTCCCACTCTCCTTCCCAGCCTGATTCTGCTCCTCCTTCGCCACCATGCTGGTCTCCCACTCTTCTTCCTCTTGAGTGAGTTTCATTAACTCCAGAAAAGTGAGTGGGCACCCTTGCTGATCTAAGAGGGACAGCCTGCTCCTAAGGCCAGTGGTCAGGGAGACTCGAGATAAGACATGCTGGAGGCGAATCGAGTCTGTGCTGTGTGCTGCCAAGGGGCTCTGCTGCGCTGCTTTCTGCAGGAGGGGCTCTAAGCGCAGCAAATAGTCAGACAGCTTCTCTGCAGCTTTCTGAGAGGAAATCGGATTCTGAAGGCATCGGAACTGTAAGATCTTACAGTCCTCTTTATTCCCAAAGACCTGCTTTAGTGCTTCCAAGCACTGCTCCATAGTTAGGGAGTCACTGCTAGCCCCTAGTGCCTGCATAATTGACAGGGCAGAGCCTCGCAGGCTCTCTAGAAGGCGCCGCTTCTTCTCCTCCTCACCCACCTGCCATAACTGCATCCTCTCAGTGACCTCCTCTAACCAGGTTTCAAAAGTCTCCTCTCCTGGGCCTGGAAAGGGACTGCCAGAAAACACTTTCAGTTTTCGGTAACACACGCTATTGCACAGAGACTTCAAACCTTCTGGTTTGTCTTGATCTGAATTCCTTAGCTCCATGCTCACTGTAGGGGCAGTGCTAAACCCCAGGGCTTTAGCTACATCTACCATTCTTCGTCCTTCATCTTTCAGAAAGTAGATCAGCTTATTGATAAACTCATTATCTGGGCTACGGGGTTTGACTACCACTTCCCAGGCGCCCCCTGCTGCTGGTATATGAGTGGGCATCATAGTATAATCGACAACTTCCGTCAGTTCAATTAAGACCGCCTTAGCTTTGTCTTCCCTCCTGAACATTCTACCTATCACCTTGTGAGCACACAAAGGAGGTAAGCCTTCCTTCAGAGTGTCCTTTATCTCAGCCTCACTGCACTGCACAGGGATGCCCACAACGAGCACCGCCTTCTTGGGATCCAGGTCCATCCCCATACACCAGTCATCTAATAGAGCCACAGCCATTGGTCCCACCCTCTAGAGACAGACCTAATACTCAGGTACTTATTAGCTAAGGATTTTCCTAAGACACAAACGATTCTAAAACCAATGCCATGTAGAAAGGCAGTATGTCCGTCCTGGGTTTCCCACAGCCTGAAATGCAAATGAAGAGCTTAGTTAATACTTCCTGTCACTTTTCCACTCCCAGAGAATCACTTTTCCTTCCCAGGCTCTTGAAATCATTTTGAGGGTCTTCCCACACAAAGCTCCCTGAAAATCACAGGACCCTGCTGACCTCTTGCCATGGTAACCTCTCTGGAAGTCTGGAGAATCTAGCGTGTATTCTCCAAGTACCTGTGGGGAAAATGTCAATGTCAGGAGGCAAACACTGGAAAAACTGGAAAAGACCCAGTGGTAGAAAAGACAGGAAGAAGAACACTCTGCCACCTACTAGAGGCTATACTGGGTTCAGACCACTCTTTGCTGTGTCCAAGACTGGCAATCATAGAAGACTCTCCTCTTGAGGAAAGCTCAGCAGAGGAAAGGATGACTGGAGATCAGCAGATGTGATCAGAGTGGTACGTGCAAAGTACTCTTTGTATGTGACAATCTAATGTACTGCCATGGATACAAGACCAGTGTGTTATCACATAGTGCCACGTGGGAAGGTAAACGCCCTTGGGAAACAGCAGGTGATGTCATGGTCATCCATCCAATAAAGCATCTCAGCAACAAGATGTTGGTGACAGGTATAGGGGGAGGTAAGCAGAGACTAAAGAATGGGCACTGATCTGAAAAATGCTTATGGTTTAAAATTGTATGAAATCTGCAATCAAAGGCAGAAAAAGGCCCCCAAAAGTAAACAGATATTGTCACCCTAAGTATAGTCCTATCCTGCAGTCCATGAACCTTGGCAGGTAGCCCCTTGACCTGCTCTTTGCTGCTCACAAAATAGCTGCTCACCCTGATGTTTGCTGAAGTATGGATACAGTGATTTTGCTGGCACTGATGGTTGATGCTATTGGTCTTCTGGCTTCTATTCAGATAGGCGGTGCAGGGATGCTGCTTCCTGTGCAAGGCAAAGTACGGGATTATTTAATACGGTCTATTCTGAATGTCCCTGCCCATGCAAGGTGTGCTAATCTGACTCTGCACAAGAATCTGAAGACAGCACCTTGCCGGCATGGTGGCAGACACCTTTAATACCTAAACTTGAAGGCGGCTAACAGGCTAAATGTGTCAGTTTGAAGCCTGCCACCACTACATTGTAAGACCTTTAAAAAAAAATCCTTGATAAGATTTGTGAAACCGCTCCACGAAAAGGCGCCGAGACAAAAAGAATGCTAACATAAAGTTGCTACCCTCCCTCCACCGACACCACCCACCCAAAAGTGTCACTCCTGGTTCCAGCACCAAGCCAAATTGTCCTAAACACCGCCTCTTCCCCATTCCTATGCCATTTTGGACCACCCGCTATTTTATTGATTCCCTCTACAAGCCTGCTAGCCCAAGCACCACTCCTTCCCTGTTCCTGGGCCATTTTGGACCATCCCGTATCATTGGTTGCAGCAACAAACCAGCTTCCCAAGAACCGCCACTTCCTCCGTTCCTATAACATCTTGGACCACCCACTATCTCATTGATTCCAGCAACAAGCCAGCTTTCCCAAGCACCGCCGCTTCACCGTTCTGTGCCATCCTGGACCATCAGCTATCTCGTTGGATCCGGCTACAAGCCAGCTTTCCCAAGCACCGCCGGTTCCCCGTTTCTGTGCCAGTTTGGAAAACCCGCTAAAATACCAGCTATCTCATTGGTTCCAGCAACAAGCCAGCCTGTCCCAAGCACCGCCCCTTCCCCCTGTCCCGTGCATTCTTGGACCACCCGCTATCTCATTGGTTCAGGCGACAAGGCAGCCATCTCAAGCACCGCCCTTTCCCTTTACTGTGACATCCTGGACCATCGCTATCTCATTGGTTCGGGCGACAAGCAAGCCGTCTCAAGCACCGCCCTTTCCCTTTCCTGTGACATCCTGGACCACCGCTATCTCATTGGTTCCGGTAACAAGCCAGCCGTCCCAAGCACCGCCCTTACTCTTTCCTGTGACATCATGGAAGACGGCTATCTCATTGGTTCCGGCAACAAGAGAACTGTCTCAAGCACCGCCCTTTCCCTTTCCTGTGACATCCTGGACCACCGCTATCTCATTGGTTCCGGCAACAAGAGAACGGCCCCCAAACACCGCCCTTTCTATTTCCTGTGACATCCTGGACGACCCGCTACCTCATTGGTTCCGGAAACAACAGAACGGCCCCAAGCACCGCCTTTTCCCTTTCCTGTGACATCCTGTACCACACGCTACCTCATTGGTTCCGGCAACAAGAGAACGGCCCCAAGCACCGCCCTTTCCCTTTCCTGTGACATCCTGTACCACACGCTACCTCATTGGTTCCGGCAAAAAGAGAATGGCCCCAACCACCGCCCTTTCCCTTTCCTGTGACATCCTGTACCACACGCTACCTCATTGGTTCCGGCAACAAGAGAACGGCCCCAAGCACCGCCCTTTCCCTTTCCTGTGACATCTTGTACCACACGCTACCTCATTGGTTCCGGCAAAAAGAGAACGGCCCCAACCACCGCCCTTTCCCTTTCCTGTGACATCCTGTACCACACGCTACCTCATTGGTTCCGGGGACAAGAGAACGGCCCCCAAGCACAGTCCCTTCTCTTTCCTGTGACAACCTGCAACACTGCTATCTCATTGGTTCTGGCGACGAGAACGGCCCCCAAACACCGCCCATTCCCCCTGTCCCTTGCGTTCTTGGACCACCCGCTATCTCATTGGTTGGAGCGTCAAGTCAGCCGTCCCAAGCACCGCCCTTTCTCTTTCCTGTGACATCCTGGACCACCACTACCTAATTGGTTCCGGCAACAAGAGAACGGCCCCAAGCACCGCCCTTTCTCTTTATTGTGACATCCTGGACCACCGCTATCTCATTGGTTCTGGTAACAATAGAACGGCCCCAAGCACCGCCCTTCCCCTTTCCTGTGACATCCTAGACCACTGCCATCTCATTGGTTCCGGCGACAAGAGAACGGCCCCAAGCACCGCCCCTTCCCCCTGTCCCGCGCATTCTTTGACCACCCGCTATCTCATTGGTTGGGGCGACAAGTCAGCCGTCCCAAGCACCGCCCATTCCCGTTCTTGTGACATTTCGGAGCACTGGCTATGTCATTGGTTCCGGTAAAAAGAGAACAGCCCCCAAGCACCGCCCCTTCTCTTTCCTGTGACAACCTGGACCACTGCTATCTCATTGGTTCCGGCAACAAGAGAACGTCCCCAAGCACCGCCCTTTCCCTTTCCTGTGACATCATGGACCACCCGCTACCTCATTGGTTCCGGTAACAAGAGCACTGTCTCAAGCACTGCCCTTTCCCTTTCCTGTGACATTCTGAACCACTGCTATCTCATTGGTTCCGGCGACAAGAGAACGGCCCCCAAGCACAGCCCCATCTCTTTCCTGTGACATCCTGGACCACTGCTATCTCATTGGTTCCGGCGAGAAGAGAACGGCCCCCAAGCACAGCCCCATCTCTTTCCTGTGACATCCTGGACCACTGCTATCTCATTGGTTCCGGCGAGAAGAGAACGGCTCCCAAGCACCGCCCCTTCCCCTGTCCCGTGCATTCTTGGACCTCCCGCTATCTCATTGGTTGGGGCGACAAGTCAGCCGTCCCAAGCACCGCCCGTTCCCTTTCCTGTGACATTTCCGAGCACTGGCTATCTCATTGGTTCCGGCAACAAGAGACCTGTCTCAAGCACCGCCCTTTCTCTTTCCTGTGACATCCTGGACCACCGCTATCTCATTGGTTCCGGCAACAAGAGAACGGCCCCAAGTACCGCCACTTCCCTTTCCTGTGACATCCTGGACCACCCGCTACCTCATTGGTTCCGGCAACAAGAGAACGGCCCCAAGTACCGCCACTTCCCTTTCCTGTGACATCCTGGACCACCCGCTACCTCATTGGTTCCGGCAACAACAGAACGGCCCCAAGCACCGCCCTTTCCCTTTCCTGTGACATACCTGGACCACCCGCTACCTCATTGGTTCCGGTAACAAGAGCACTGTCTTAAGCACTGCCCTTTCCCTTTCCTGTGACATTCTGAACCACTGCTATCTCATTGGTTCCGGCGACAAGAGAACGGCCCCCAATCACCGCCCCTTCCCCTGTCCCGTGCATTCTTGGACCACCTGCTATCTCATTGGTTGGGGCGACAAGTCAGCCGTCCCAAGCACCGCCCGTTCCCTTTCCTGTGACATTTCGGAGCATTGACTATCTCATTGGTTCCAGCAACAAGATAACTGCCCTCAAGCACCGCTCCTTCTCATTCCTGTGACATCCTGGACCATCGCTATCTCATTGGTTCCGGCAATAATCCAGCCGTCCCAAGCACCGCCCTTTCTTTCCTGTGACATCCTGGACCACCCGCTATCTCATTGGTTCCGGCAACAAGAGAATGGCCAAGTTCCGCCCTTTCTATTTCCTGTGACATCCTGGAACACCCACTATCTCATTGGTTCCGGCAAGAAGAGAACGGTCCCAAGCACCGCCCTTTCTCTTTCCTGTGACACCCTGAACCACTCGCTATCTCATTGGTTCCGGTAACAAGAGAACTGTCTCAAGCACTGCCCTTTCCCTTTCCTGTGACATTTTGAACCACTGCTATCTCATTGGTTCCGGCGACAAGAGAACGGCCCCCCAAGAACCCGCCCCTTACCCCGTTCCTGTGACGTCATGGACCACCTGCTATCTCAGTGGTTCGGCTACAAGCCAGCCGTCCCAAGCACCGCCTCTTCCCCCTGTCCCGTACATTCTTGGACCACCCGCTATCTCATTGGTTCGGGCAACAAGACAGCCGTCCCAAACACCGCCCATTCCCTTTCCTGTGACATTTTGGAGCACTGGATATCTCATTGGTTCCGGTGACAAGAGAACTGCCCCAAAGCACCGCCCTTTCTCTTTCCTGTGACATCCTGGACCATCGCTATCTCATTGGTTCCGGCAACAAGCCAGCCGTCCCAAGCACCGCCCTTTCTCTTTCCTGTGACATCCTGGACCACCGCTATCTCATTGGTTCCGGCAACAAGAGAACTGTCCCAAGCAACGCCCTTCTCTTTCCTGTGACATCATGGACCATCGCTATCTCATTGGTTCCAGCAACAAGCCAGCCGTCTCAAGCACCGTCTCAAGCACCGCCCTTTCCGTTGACATCCTGGACCACCGCTATCTCATTGGTTCCGGCAACAAGAGAACGGCCCCAAGCACCGCCCTTTCCCTTTCCTGTGACATCCTGGACCACCCGCTACCTCATTGGTTCCGGCAACAAGAGAACGGCCCCCCCCAAGCACCGCCCTTTCCATTTCCTGTGACATCCTGGACATCTCATTGGTTCCGGCAACACGAGAACGGCCCCCAAGCACCGCCCTCTTTCCTGTGACATCCTGGAACACCCACTATCTCATTGGTTCCGGCAAGAAGAGAACGGTCCCAAGCACCACCCTTTCTCTTTCCTGTGACATCCTGGACCACCGCTATCTCATTGGTTCCGGCAACAAGAGAACGGCCCCAAGCACTGCCTTTTCCATTTCCTGTGACATCCTGGACCAACGCTACCTCATTGGTTCCGGCAACAAGAGAACGGCCCCCAAGCACCGCCCTTTCCCTTTCCTCTGACATCCTGGACCACCTGCTATCTCATTTCATTGGTTCTGGCGACAAGCCATCCATCCCAAGCACCGTCGTCCCCTCCCCCCCTTTCTTGTGCCATCCTGGACCATCCACTATCTCAATTCCAGTTTTTTGTTTGTTTTTTTTTTTTTTTTTCGAGACAGGGTTTCTCCGTATCCTTTGATTTCTGTCCTAGAACTAGCTCTTATAGACCAGGCTGGCCTCGAACTCACAGAGATCCTCCTGCCTCTGCCTCCCGAGTGCTGGGATTAAAGGCGTGCGCCACCACCGCCCGGCTCAATTCCAGTTTTGAACAATTCTCTGAACTATCTGAGTTCCATCACCTTCTCAACTGTCCCAAGCATATTCCCTCCCCCAGTTCTGGCGTATTCCTAGAACCCATAGCCAACTCAGTTCCTGTTCTGAAACAGGCCTAGCTCTATCCAATATACATTTCAAGTCATGTGTCCAGGCCCCGATCCATCCGTGTCCTACTATCACATCCTAGCAACAACCCAAAGTCACTCATGCTGACAAATACCATCCTCACTTATGCCTAAACACCCCTACCTAAAACTCAAAATCCAGTGCATTGGATTCTTAGGAGGCAGGAAGATCACCTAAACCCAGAAATTTGAGAGCAACCTGTGCAACACAGAAACGCTGTCTCACAAACTGAAAACAACCAGAAAACAAAAAAAATCTGTTATGCTTCCCACTCCATCACAAATGTCCTCTGCTCCACATAACCCTCATCTCACATCCCCCCCCTCCCCCGCCCAAAAGGCTATAGTGGAAGTAAGCAGAAGGCCATAAAAAGAAAGGACACTAATGGCATGGGCGAGGTCTAGAAATGGCAGAAACCCTTAAGGTGCCAGGGGGAAGGCTGCACCATACCTGCCAAAGAGGCCACCAGACCCAAACTCCAGAAGATTCTAGGACCACATCCGCTGCAGGACAAAATGGGCTCAAGACCCGGGCCAGAAGATCTTATATATGCCACCCCACCCCCACCCCGTGGTGTTGCGCAGGACCCTTTTGCGC